TTCATTAGAAAAAAACAAACAATAAAATTTATTCTTTTTGTTGTTTACAAAAAAAAATGTATGTATATATTTTCAATATTGTTTAGCAGATGAAATACTTTGTGGTGTATGTAAATCATCATTTAATTGATCTTCATCAATTTTAGGCCAATGTTTTAATTTAAAACCTTCACCATGTTTAATATAATCATGTGATGATAAATTATATTGAAAATCATGTCCAATTGTAAATGAATGTGAAGGACTTTGCCTTGTTATACTTACAATTATTTGACGATAATTAGGTGGTATAATATCAAATAATTCATTTTGAGAATCTTTTCTTGATATAAATGCATTTTGTGATACAGTACAATTAAAATGAAAATGAACATATTTTGTTGGATGACGATTTTCAACAAGTACCATAAGACCATTCCAATATTTTTTTAATTCATATATTGTTACACCATCTGAATGATTTGTATCTCTATCTGAACTATTCGCAGTACGTACTTGATCACCATAGAATATACAAAGTTTTATTAAAAATTCACGTTCTATTCGAAGTGGAATTCTTATACGTTCAAGATCTATTGCATGAGAACTATGAATAGCTAAAGAAAACAAAAAATAAAATAAAATGATGTCTTTTTATTTTTGTAAAAAACTAACCAATAGTAAATTCTGTATTATCTAAATATTTATTAATTGGATTAGATAATAATGGTAAAATAACATATGTTCCTGGTGAAAGATAACCATCAGTTGAAATAAATTTATGTTGACCACGTTGACTAATAATAGGTATTGAATAAATACGATAATTTCCATGTGGTTGTTCTTCCATATTTATAATTGCAATACAAAGACTAACATCACTTCGATGAATACGAAGATTTTTACTAATTTTTCTATGAAGTGCTATATCAAGTTCTGTTGAATGTGATAAAGTTAAATAATAAGCTAAAACATAATTTTAAAATCTATAGTCTCTTTTTCTTGCTCTTTATATTAAATAATAAACAAACCTTGCATCATTTTTGGAGCTGGATAAAAATTAGCTGTATCTCTTACTTCATACCAATTGTGTCTTAATTTACAAATATCAACGCATTCAAAATATCTAACAAATGATACAAATGGCATCCAGAAAACACCATCTCGTTTATTACGTTTTTCATCAAGTAATTCACGACGTAAATCAGGATTGTCATGCCATAAACGAGAATTATCTGACCAATCACCTATAATACATGAATATCTAATGAATTAAATGAGTTAATTTAAAGTTTATATCAAAAATAAAAGATAATCTGTTCAAGTCTCTTCTATGTCGTAGTGAAAGCTATACTTCGTTATCCCTCTGCATTCGTGAGTTATTCGGAATTTATCAAATCTTCTGGTACTTAAAAGGTTAATATCCTTGTAGAGTCTTAAAATACTATGTTTTATAAATATTTACCAGTCCATCTATATGTTCCACCCCATGGATTTCGTAATTTAACTAATTTATGTCTTCCATCTTTGGATTGTTTAACATCTTGTAATGAGTATGCATGAATATTGAGTAAACCATATTTGTCAAATTCTTCTCTACTTATAAGATTATTACTACACATAGCACACATTAAAAATTTTTGTAAACGTGAATGTAATAATTTTGCCCATAATCTATCATAATCAACATTTTTATCATCTGGATTATTTGAACGACCAAGAATTAATGTTTCACATGGACTTCCAGTTACTGTTGCTAAACCTAAAATTAAAAAAACAATATATCTTATACTTGTACATCAATCAAAAAATAAATAACCTTCACAACAACGACCAGCAATAATAGCTTCATAACTACCATTTAATTTTGCCAAAGCTTTTTCGATTAATGGAACCTAAAATATTTTTTTTTCTCAGATCTATTTTATTTTCGAAAGAGAAAACCCATTTTCTTACCCAAAGTTGTTTTCGCTGTGCTTGAGAATAAGCTAATCTTCTATCTGATGTACATGGTAGACGATCATCAACAAGAACTTGAGTCCATTCACCATCTAAAGTTTAGAGAAAAAAATTCTTTTTTAATATTAATAGAAATCAAAATTTTTCATTTACCTTTACACAAACGTACACAATAAATTCCTTCATAATTATATTGTTTAGTAATAAGTACCTTAATAAATAAAAATAAAAATAAACCGTATTTATATAAAACTAAAATAAATATTTGATACTATACTCTTGTTAAATATTCCGGTTCTTCAGCAAGAACACTTAATGCAGTTATAAACCAACAATCACCTAAAGTTCCTTGTAGAACATCATTTGGTTTTGGATCACGATAAACTGCCCACTGTGTTCGAACATTTTCTTCCCATTCTTCTGGAATAATTTGATCAGGTCTTAACCATTGAATATTATTAATAGAAGTTGTATTTAAATTTGTTTGTTGTTGACCAGGTAAAAGTGTTAGTGTTGATTTTGAAAGAGTACTACCATTAATATAAAGTGAGTGAGGTGATGCGGGAAAATTTTCATCTTTAAATTTACTATGTGATCTTACACATGTTCGAAGAATTTTATCAACATGTCTTAAAACAATATGTTCATCAACTTCACGTTTATGAGCGACAAGAACACTACGTCGATGAATATTTTCTTCTTCTAATAATGCGAAATTTTCATTTTTATTCGAAACATTTCGACTTTGACGACGAGTAGTTGAAGAACTACTAAATATAAATATTGTCATTTGATTAGATCATAATAATCGTTGTACTTACCTTGCTGAACTAGATGAAGGAGTAAACAATGATTTATGTTGATGATGATGATTTTTATTTGTATTTCTATCTAAATGATCCATAACAGGAATATAAACATTAATTTTATTTGAACCACATTCTGTACATAATTGAGCATCAGTTTCATTTCGTGTTAAACAAAATTGACATTGCCATTGACGTTTAATAACAGACGGTTTTTTTCGTACAAAACGATGTTGTTCTGCTAAATTTGAATGGTCTAATGATCGTGATCGATGATGTTGTAGATTTGAACGTTTTGTTTGTGTATTTGATGATTCTTTTTCTGTTGATAAATGATCAGTATTATGTTCTGATTGAAAAGATATATCGTGATCAAATGCGTGAAGTATTTGATTTAATGATGCTTCAACCTCTTGTGATATATTAGGATAAATAGAGAAATTTCTTTGTGAATATCCTACTCCCATTGACCCTGATTCTGTCTATTCGTCTTCTTATTTTTTCTCTCTCTCTCTCTCTCTTCCTTTTTTGACCTTCTCTTTTACCAGTCAAATATTATTACGAAACAAAAATGAAGAGAATAACAACGATTATTTCGTTTATCAACATCGAATACCTTCGCACTTTCTACGATCACTATCAATTATTTCCTCGTGTATTACATTCTGAATAATAACAAATACGATAGTATAAGAACAAAATAACAATCAAACAAAACCAAAAAATCGATCAAGCGAGAAAATATATCCAGACATATAATACATCATATTAATAATTACTTATGAAAAAGAATAAAGTATGGCCTCGAAATATACAACAAAAATTTAATAACAATTTTTAATAAGAAAAATTGTTATTACTTCCACAAAAAACTTCAATAGTTTTAATTATTTGCTGATTCATCGATCTATAAACTGACAACTTGACTTTTTTAAGTTGTAAATTAGAATGCATGAGTTAATAATTATTATTATTTTTACAAAAGACAAAATTTTGTTCTCAAAAATATTTTCATTGTTAATGGTGACCTCTATAATTTCTTAATAGGATTGATTTTCTTTCATTGATTATATTTCGTTCGATCGATAACAAACTCAAAATCCTTCTATCTATTTTAGTTTTTCTTACCTATAATTAATTAATTATTATGGATGTAATTCACGATAAAAATAATCAAGAATTTAAAGTACAACTGGATAAATCATCATCCGATAAAGGTATTCTTCGATTTTCTTTAATAATAATAATAAAAAGAATTTTTTTTCTTAAATATTTTAGCTTATTTAACTTATGAACTTAAAGGTGATACAATTGATTTTCAACATACATATGTTCCATCAAAATATCGTGGTCAAGGTATTGCTGAACAGCTTGTTCTAGTAAGATAATATTATTTCATTTCAATAAAATATCTTCATATATATATTTTTTCTTTTTTGTAGAAGGCAATGAATTATGTTGAAAGTGAAAGTTCAATAAAAAAAATTAATCCATCATGCTCTTATGTTGCTAAATTTTTAAGCTTAGCTCCTCAATATGCTCGTTATTTAGCTAAATAAAAATTTTTTCATTTTAATTTTTATTTCAGATGACAACAATTCGTTTAAAACTTCCATCTAATTTATATCGTCCATGGAAACCACTTTATCGTCAACGTTCAAAAAAACAAAAAGATCCACCAGCACCGTATACACCATTAGAACAACAAATATATGATCATGCTAAAATTAAATTTGATCAAAGAGTTGAAATACTTCGATCAATATTTACTAAAGAAAGTCAATCATTATCAACTAAATCTCGTTTTGCTCAACTTCAACTTAAAGCTGAAGAACAAGAATTTAAACAATTAATTAATATGGTTAAGTAAGTCTATCTTCTCTCGCATATATATACAAAAATTTATTCGAATAAATGTTTTAGACAAGAGAATGAACGTTTATTTGCAATGCGTCGTGAAGATGAACGTAGAGCTCTTGAAGAAGAAGAAGACATACGTTCTCAAGTTTTAAATGTATTATCTGAAAAACAATTTAATAAACATCTTAATATTGAAGAGGAAGTTAAACAAATGAAAAAAGAATCACGTTCATGGATTAATCCTAATCAATTATCAAATGAAATTGAACGAATGCTTAATGAAAAATATGATTATAATTATTCAATTGATTTAGCTGGAATAAAACGAACACAATTAGGAAAAGAAATTGTAGAAGATACAAAACCAAATTTAGTTTCAATGTCACCATTTGAATCAGAATCAAAGAATGTTGCAAGAAAACCTCCTGGTGCTTCGAAATATGAAGAATAGAGCAGATTTTGTTTCTCGTTTTATGTATTGTGTTATTTTAGATTTGCAAAAAAATAAATAGGAGAAAAAAAAAGGAAATATTAATTTTCTCGATACATTGATTCAAAGTAAAGCTACAGCAATACATGAAAGAAAAGAAAAGTATAAGATATCATTTATATGTGGCGCCATCATTCATAGAACTAGATCGAAGGAGGAACGGGAGATAGGAACAAATAACGAAATGGTGGAAGTGTATTTGGATAAATCTTCTACTGTTTTTTGTTTCCTTGCTTAATTATTTATTTTAGATTGATTTTACTAGTCAAGATTTTCGATATAAATGTTCATCAATTCTGATAATGTGTAGATGATATGTGTCTTATACAGAGAATTTAGATTTTTCTTGAATAGTTTCTAATCTACTAGAGAATATTTTGATAATCTATTTAGAATTACACTGTTCCTCCTTAAAGCTCAAGAATTTGTCCTATGATTTATCATCGGTTGTAGCAATTTTGATATATGTTTGAGAATTATTGAATATTGATTAATTTATCAGGATCGTTTTGCCGATCGCATATAAATACAAATAAATCGATTTCACGTGTAAAATACTGAAGATTACTATCACGATTGATGAATGAATATTCAAAGCCTAACGACTAAGCCTATTTAGAATTTAATCTTCGAAATGTTTCGATTATTGTTTGACTGCGTAGCGAAGAATGTGCTTTGAAATAAGAATTTTGAAGCTGTTGTTGGTTTTAATCATTGTGCTGATAGACTTGATTATTTTGATAATTGAAGTACTGTACATGTTCAATTTGTTTGCTATGATTTTTTTTCTTTTTCAAGTGGTGATTCATCGCCGTTATTTCTCCATTAACAAAACTGCGTAATGTGATTGTTATTCTTCTTTTCTGCATGTACCGTTATTGTTTTTGTCGATTGTTTATGTCTTCTTTTTCATTTCTAATGAAATTTTGTATAGAATGATCGCTGTCACATTGATACTTGATTAATATTTCTTATATGTACCTTCGATTATTCGATATTTTTTAGATAACAATAAAAGAGAATGTCTCATTTAAAAACTAGTAAAACCAATCAAATTAAATCGAGCAATGCAGAGAAAAAAGATAAACAAATAAATAAAGAAAATCAACCAAAAAGTAAATTAATTTAAATGTATTCCGTGTTTGTTTTCTAAAATATTTAGTAATGAAGATGATGAAACAGAAGAATCTTCATCGAGTGATGATGATGATGATGAACCAATTCGTGCTCCAATTCAATTAAAAATTGAAGTAAAAAAATACTAAGGAAAGATAAAATTCTTATATCCTTTATCTAGTTTGTTAATTCAATTATGTTTCGTCAATGGGAATTAGCACAAAAATTATGTCAATTTATGTTAATATATGAACCAAATAATAGTGAAGCTAAACAATATGCTCCATTAATTGATTATATGTTAGAACAAGAACAAGCAGCATCTTCATCCTCATCAGATGACGATTCAAGTGATACAACTAATTAAAAAATAATATTAAATATATTTCAATTATTTATTTAGGTGATGATGACGATGGTGATGATGATGATGACGCATCTGGAAGTAGTAGTAGTAGTTCATCTTCTTCCGAAAATGAAGAAGAAACAACAACTGATATTGATGATGCTAAAGCACCAAAACCAGTCAATGCTTCTTTATCTCATAAATGTCATCATAAATGATAAAAATACAAAGACTTTCGTCCATTTTATTGGAATCTTGTTTTTTTTGAAAATAGTTCTTTTTAATTTCAAGTCAATTTCAATAAATTAAATCATATTTCTGCAACAGAAATTCTAATATTCTTCTCACATTCAACAAAGGCAAACTTCAATAGATAGCTATATATAACATCTATCATGTCAACAATTGGAAATTATCAAAAACTATTAGCTTTTCATTGTTTTTGTCACTTATCTTTTGGTGCATTTCCTAATCTTGGGATACTCACGAGATTTGTATTACTAATGATCGTATTAAAGATACATTTGATCAAGCTAGTGAACAGCTCTTTTATTGAATATGACTCAAAATGACCGAAGAATTTTTCATAATTTCGACAAAGTGTGATACTGAAATCATGTAATTTATTACAAAGCAAACATTTTATTTTTTCGAGAACAACGCGTGTCCGACTATCATAAAAGAGTGAAGGATAATGATAATTAAGAGAAATTATGTTTTTAATAAATCAGTTAATAGTATTTTTATGTTCATTATTAGAATATTCAGTAACAAAATTTATTTATATTATTGTCATGGCGTCTTTATTTTCTTAGAAAAATAAACTTTCAGAGGACTTTAAATATTATAATTAAACAAATAATAGAATGACGAGAATTTTATTTTCCCTACTACTTATTTCCAGACCAATGAAATTTTAAGGATAATATGATAACTATGGTAATAATATAATGTTCATCAATACAATTGTTTGACAAATGATGACATCTATGAATGTTATTTTTATATTTTCCTATTTTTTATTGATATTTAATGAATTTTATTTCGTTTTAAAATAAAATTTAATTTTTGATTCTAAAATAAATGATTCGAAGAAAATAAAAACTTCACTTGTCATAAAATGATTCATATCCTGCTGGAACAGATGGTTCATTCATTTCCTTCTTTCTTTCATTCTTTCTCTCTTCTCAATATGGCAGATAATTAATTTTCTGGTTCTTTTATTAACTAACTCATATTTAAAATGTCTAATCAACCTGCAACTGAAGACAATCATGATGAACAAAAAAGCAAAAAACCAGCTGGTAAGTTTTCACATAACTCTCCAACTTCGTTTTTTTTTATATCTAAATTTTCTTAAAAAAAGATACTGCTTTTAAACAACAACGTTTACCTGCATGGCAACCAATAATAACTGCAGATACAGCTCTACCAGTTTTCTTAATAATTGGTTTACTATTCATTCCAATTGGTATTGTACTTGTTGTAACATCGGAACGAGTAATTGAAAAAAAAATAATTTTTTGTTTTCCTATTAAATTTCTTTTTTAAAGGTACTGGAATATGATCTTGATTATACAGATACAAATTGTATAAGTTCAACTGGAGGAAATGTAACATGTGCTGATGTTTTACGTAGTAATAATTTTACTGGTGCCTCATGTAATTGTACTAAAACTATTACATTAGAACAATCATATACGGTTAGTAGCGTTTTCTTATTTAAAAGATTAAAAAAAAGAAGAAATTTTATTGTAGGGTGAAGTTTATTTTTATTATGGTTTAATTAATTATTATCAAAATCATCGTCGTTATGTTAAATCTCGTGATGATAATCAATTACTTGGTAAAGCACCTCCAGTCTCTGCAGATTGTCAACCATTTCAAACATCAGCAAATGGTACCGCTTATACACCATGTGGAGCTATTGCTAATTCGAAATTTAATGGTTTGTATTTTTTCAACAAAAAATTTCCTACTAGAAAACGTGTTTTTTTCCTTTTAAAATAGATACATTAACTTTATCATTCAATGGAACTTCAGTCCCGTTGACAAATATTGGTATTGCATGGACAACTGATAAAGCTGTTAAATTTCAAAATCCAGCTAATCCAACTACTTGTAATTTAGAAAGAAAACGTTTTTTCCTTGAATAAAAAATATGTATTTTATTTTGTTAGATTTTACAAATGCTTCTCGACCACCAAATTGGCAAAAAACACCTTGGGATTTAGATACAAGTAATAATAATACAAATAATGGTTATCAAAATGAAGATTTTATTGTATGGATGCGTACAGCTGCAATGCCAACATTTAGAAAACTCTATAGAAAATTAAATTTAACTAATGCAGGAACATTTCAAAATGGTTTACCAGCAGGAAATTATGTTTTAACAGTTCAATATAGTAAAATGTTTTGTTTTATAGTTACAAAAAAATTCTAGTTTTATTTCTTTTCTTTAAAGATTATCCAGTAACAAGTTTTTCTGGAAGAAAACAATTTATTATAAGTACAACATCATGGATGGGAGGAAAAAATCCATTTCTCGGTTGGGCTTATATTGCTGTTGGAATTATTTGTATGATTGCATTTGTGATCTTTTTTGCTCTTCATAAAACATGGAAAATGTAAGATTTTTATTAAATATTATTTTAACTTCAATAGAAAAACTTCTCACTATACGCTTTATTGACGAGAAAATATTTCCATATGTCATATTATTTTTTTAATTAAGTAAATGTTTAACTCATAGATCTTAGTCAAATTAGTAAATATTTTACAAAAAAGCTTTTTTATTTCCTCTCTCTAAATTGCGCAAAACAATATGCGCATGACCTTTTTAGATCGTGACAAAATACTGAATAAAATACTTGAATTTGAAGAAAACTTGATATGTTATTTTTATCATGGATTTCATGATAAATTATATTAATTTAAAATGTGCAGGTGATGAAGATCTATCTGACACGCGAGTACATAGATCCATCAATGTACATATACTAGGAGATAAATGTGTGTTTACAAAAAAACAATGCTTGCATCTTTGGGTTAGAATATATATATACATACCTTCAAATTCTGACATTTTATTCAGTACGGAATGTCTTACTATTAATATCAATTTGAGTGGGATCGAAATTTATCTAGTCACGATATCGAATATATCTTACCTGGTAATACGAATAATAAAATATACGTAGTCGGAAGACCTAGATTGCTGAATAGTTCATCAAGGTTTAAAATTTAGAGTATCTACTCGGTCCAAAAATGATTTTATAATCGACAATATTCTTTCATAAGATTATCTCAATCGAGAATAATTTCCGTTCTTTTCAAAAAAAAAGCATTGATTCCCAATCTAATTGTATAACTTGATATAGTTATGTATCTGTTACTATTTAAGACATTCTTCTCTTGAACTCTGTAACAGGACTTCGATATTTATTTATTGAAATATAAATTAAAAAAAAGATGTCCGACGTTGCCGGAAAGGGAGTTAACCTTTCATATTTTGTTAATTTATTCTGACAAGAATGTCGAATAAAATATCTTCCATTGACATTCTGTAATGATATAGGTCTATTTTAATTTCTTATCGATGTAAACAATATGGTGTCATATGATTGAATAGAGAATGATATTTTCATTCGTCTAAACAACAACTGTTTGAGTCCTTTTTATTATATTTGAGACACACTATTGATTTCGCTATGGATCATTATTTAACTTTGTATAACCATCTTCGAACTATTCTTGCTATCATTTATAACCTTATATTATATTTTTCAAGTATTTAAGAGTCTATCGAGTGTTATAAAAGTTTTATTTTTAGAATTAGTTAGAGTTCGTGTATTTTGTTGAGAAAAACTCTAAGTTTATTTTTATTATTATTAATTCAGTATCAGTAGATCTATTGTTTTTAATTAAAATAAATCTTGATTGATTGATGTCCACATGACATTTCTGCTTTTTATATAACTTATAAAAAAAAAAGAAGACAAATGCTACTAGTCAATACAATAGCGACTCATATAATTAAATTCCATAGAGATATATTCAATTACAAATAAGTTTCTATCGACATAAAACTCTTTTTTTTTCCTTCATTGAGATATATCATTTATAAATTGTTCTTTGTATGTTAAAAAGAGAATACTTCTTATCACTAGCATTTTCTTTCGATTTCTCTTTTGTACTTTGCTCTTTAAATCTCATACGTTGACTAACTGATGATATTTAATCTATAGTTGATTAATCATTGTATTCTTATGAATTTATTTTCTACATCTTTATTAGGTTGTTAGACGTAATAGTACAGAAATACGCAAAGATCTTAATATGAGAATGTTAAAAAAGATATTCTTCAACATGAGTTAGTTCGATGTAGATTAGTATTCTCTTAGCTGACTCATTTTATAATTATTATTAAACTAATAAATCGATTTAAGAAAAGATGAAATATTTCCGATCGATGAAAATATTCAATGGATGATTGATTGATGTATTAGATAAGTTAGTAAAAACATATTCGCCTCAAGGGCAGTCGATGCTCCATTTTGTTATTTCGTTAATAAGCTTCACTTTGCTTGTTCTTTCTATTCTTTTCTTATCTAGTTCTCTTTTTTTTTCTTATTTAGACAAAATCGACCTCCAACATAAACTGGTTGTATGAAAACAAGCATATATTCGGGCTGATATTGGTCTATTTATTTAATCATTATTCATTTGTTGTCGCTATTATTCTTGCTTTTGTTTCTTTCATATATATATACATATATAAAATACTCTTGTAATCATGCTTTTCTTGGGAATAAAATGCAATATTTGTTTGTTTCAGATTGTATAATGTCACATATATAAGGTGTTACATCAATGGAAGACACAACTACTAAGTAAGTGAACATAGAGAGAGAAATAATAAAGGTGTTTTTTGTTCTTCAAATATATAACTAGTATCGTATGATATTTAGTTAATGGGAAAAATAAGAGAAGAGAAAAAGTGGTCATAACAAGTTTTTTTTTAAATTATAGTGACATATCGTCGGATAAGAAAAAAAATGTTCATCGTCGAATGGCTTCATTACCTTTAATTCATAATTTCCTGGCTAAGAGTAAACAGTTACTCAGGTAGAATTGCTGCTCATTAGTTAATTAACGATTTAGAAAAATAAAATGATTTTTTTTTCGATAAAATAAATACTAAGAAAATCTTTTTTTTTGTTTTTATAGTAGTTCATCACCAGAAATTTCACCTATAGTAGAAAATCTATCAGAAGAATCTGATAATGTTACATTATTATCTTCGTCATCATCGGTACTTGTCGATACTCAACAATCAAATAATTTATCATCAGATTCTATTGATATATCATCTGATGATAAATCTTTTAATGATCAAACATCTGTCGGATACCTTCCAAATACTGACTCATCGAATTCAACAATGGTTATTGTAACATCACCATCATTTACTTCCGATTTATTATCTGAACAAAATGATTCAATTGATCAATTAAATTCATCATCATTATCTTTTCTACAAACAAAACAACGTCGAATTGATCATCGAAGAAATAAAAGTGAACCAATTAAATCAGCTAGTACAGAAGATCTTGCTTCATCAACAATACTTGATCTATCTTCAAATAATGAATCCTCTATTGGGAAAAAATCATCAGTGAAACTAACCCCAAATAATAGTTCACCTTTGACAACCTCTAAACAATTGACATTAGAAAAAGTATCATCACAATCATCAACAACATCAAGAAAAAAGAAACCATGGTACAATGTAAGTATAATTTCTTATTACTTTTTCATTGGTTAATTTTATCGTACGATTGTCTGAGCATTTTTTATTTACTCTTATTTTTATGTAATTTACTCATTGTGTTTGTTATTTCAACGCATGAATGAGTCAATCGTTATATGATGTTACGAATCAATGATAATAATTTTTTTTTTCTTCTCTCCTTTTTCTTTTTTCCTACGCATAAATATATTGGTATGAGAAGACATGCGCATAAAAAGAAGAGCATGTTAAATGATGGGTATAGACACGTTTAAAAAAAAATAAAAAGAGCCGCAAGCAAGAAAAAGCAAAAAAAAAAAACTCAACAAGTAGCAAAAAAACGCAATATGTCTGAAAAAGTATCGATACAAACATCATTTCATTGATTTTTATATTCTACTCATCCACCTTTTATCTGATTACAACTTAATTTAAATGAAATTCTCTATTTAAAATGGATACAATTCGTTTATTTCTTCGTTCGAGTAGTTTTCGAGATTCGAAAAGAAAAAAAAATACTACAGCTGACTATTCAAGAACAATATCAACGACAGACGAAACTAATGATTCAAATAATAATTTCTCAATTGATATGGATGATGGTCAAAGTTCATCAAATGAAAAATTATCTCGTCATAATATTCAATCATTATTAACAAATTCAACATCAACTTCCTTTGGTTCACATCTTTCAGTACCTCGTTTAGATCCTGAAACATATTCTGGATTATCAACAGCATCATCAGAAAATCTAATGAGTACAACAGTAGCAGCTAGTGCTTCTGAATCAGTATCAAATGCTAATTCATTTACAAATCATGATCCTTCCAAACGTCGTCGTTCTTTACATAGAAGTGAAAAACGAAGACGTTCACGAATAATTATTGAACCTGATTTTTCTCAAACATCTTCATTATCATTACCACTTGTTAGACGAATAAAATCTCGTCGACATCCAGAGAGAATACGAAGACATTCAATAAAACTTAAACATTCCCAACATCATACTCAAGTAAATAAATAATCAAAAACATTTTAAACTAACATCAATTACCAATTAGCTGGTCTTGCTTCAATACAAAATATATTCTATATCTAATGCTTTACTGCTTCAATATAGGATTCAATTCATTTATGAACACTAACACTAAATGACAAAAAAACACATATCGATTAGCTTTCTGAATAATGTAGTTATTAGTTATAGTGACATTTATCTTTTGTATTTTTTTTTCAATAAGTAATTAATAGAATTTTATTTAGCCATTTCAAACAACTTATCGTCAACGATATGAAGAATTTCGAAAACTATTTAAAGAATTACCAGACACTGAACGATTAATTGTCGGTAAGTGAGTTTTTTTTTACAAAAAATTTTTTATATTAATAATAAAAATTCTCGTTTAGATTATTCATGTGCTTGGCAAAAAGATATATTAGTTCAAGGCCGAATGTATTTATCACAGAATTATTTATGTTTTTATGCTAATATTCTTAATTGGAAAACAATTTTATGTTTAAAATTTGAAGATATTGTTGGTATAACACGTGAAAAAACAGCTAAAGTCATTTCAAATGCTATTGCAGTAAAAACAAATAAAACGGAAAAATATTTCTTTGCAAGTTTTGTAACACGTGATAAAACTTATACTATAATGTATCGAATATGGCAAGCAGTAAAAGATAATCAAGTAAGATTCCTTGTTTGTTTCTTATTAATTTAATTAAACTATTTTTAGCCAATATCTAGTCAACAATTATGGACAATGATACATGAAAGTTATGGAGATGATTTGGATATGACAACAGATGAAGAAGATACTTATCATAAATCATTATTAAATTCACCAAGTGATAAAATGTCATCGAAATCATATACTCCAACTAGTGATAAATATGATGTAAGTATATTTTTTATATAAAATTCTTGAGATGTATTTATTTGAATGATAAATTTAGTTATCAAATATTGTTTTGGTAAGTTAATTTTAATGCGTGACGTGTAGTTTTGAGTAGTTTTGTTATGTAAGACGAATCTTGATTAAATTAATCAACCGTATCGACCATTCTATCCTGCCCTTTTCTTTCGTTCTTTGATGTAGTTACTCAAACAATGACTATCAATATTAAAAACAAAACCCTGCACATATGTTGTTGTTTTTTTGAAATAGAAGTTTGTTCGTTTGTTGTTTGTAAAGATAGAATCAAGTTTTTAGTGAATCAAATGTCTGAAGAATATATTTTTCTTTTGATTTGTTTAGCGTATAAGACCAAACTCAGTTCTTTCAAGTACATTTCAACACGAAGACGATCGTTCAAGTGTTTCATCACGCGGTGAACATCAATCAGATGATGAAAGTATAAATCAAACTGGAGAAGAAGCACGGAATAATACACGTATACATCGATCTAAATCTAATTCAATGGAACAAGATATAAATAAAACTACTAGTTTGTTTCAATATTTCTATAGATTTAAAATAAATAGTTTTCTTAATTTCTATAGAAATTCATTATTTAACAACATGTCCATGTGATTCACATTTAGCAACTGAATTAATTAATCGAACATATTCAATGTCAGTTGAACATTTATTTGATTGTATATTTGGTGATAATGATTTTCTTGTTGCTTATCGAGCATCACGTCGTATCAAAGGTTATTTTTTCTTTGCCCTTTGAATATGTTTTTGGTTTCATATTAGATTCTTTCTTTTGTAGATTTTCGTTCTGCTGAATGGCAAGTAAATGCTGAAACTGGAAAACGCGAACGATTATATACCTTTAAAGTTGATGTCAATGCTGTTTTTGGTTCTACAACAATTTCTTCAAAAGAAAAACAAGTAAATAAAAGTATTTTCTTATTTCATTTTTTCTAAATTATTTCATAAATAGATGATTGAAAGTGAAGTACCAAAATCATATTATATAATTGATACAGAAGTACGAAATGAAGGAATAAAATATGCGGATACTTTTTATGTCGCATCTCGTTACTGTCTTGTACAGACAGGACCAAACAAATCACATTTGCGAGTAACATGTGATGTAAAATATGTCAAAAGTTTAATGGCTATAATCAAAAGTAAGTAATGATATGCGTTTTCCTAGAAAAAAATTTCCGATTGGAAGTTATTTTAACTATGATCACGCCATCAGTTTACAGCGAGTCATACATTACCTATAATCATTCTTCTTTTTCTTTTCTGTTCGCGAAAAAAACAAGGAATACTAGTTGTTATTATTATTTTTTTCTTCTTGTTCTGTCATAACTACCCGAAGTCGTATGTTGATGGTGTCATGTGTAGGGAGTGGATGTATATAAAAGAAAAGAATGAATCAATCAAAATATCACAGCATTTATTTTTCACCAAAAACATTTGAGAATAATGAAGAAAATAAAAATAAAGAAAACTATTTCACGATTTGTTAAATGTCATATTTTATGTGCTCGTTCAGCGTTCATCGAAAAAAATGCAATGGCTGCACTCCAAGACTCATTTACTGATCTAAGTAAGTTTATTTATGTTACTATTGTTAACCTGCTTAATGCTTTATAGTTTGATTCAAAAAAAAAAACACAATTAAATTTGTGTGTGTTTTGCTAGAGTTTATTTTATAAATAGAAACTAATTATTTGTATATTTAGTGAAACGTATCGATCAAGAATCTTCCAAAAAACCACGAACTCTCAGTATTAGTAATAAAAATAATGAAAGAGAAATATTAGTCCAATCTCCATCAGTCATATCACCAAGGCGATTATCACGACAACAACAGGAAAATGAATTACCTTCATCTATAAATAATCTTTCAGTTCGTTTACATGATGAACAACCAATACAAAATCAAACCAGTAAATTATATTTTTGAATTTCATATTAATTCAATAATAAAATATTCTTTTTTTATCTAGGTTCAGATGTTGCTGTTGTTACTTCCAATCCATCATTAACATCTAGGAATACTTTCCTAATACCATTTTGTTTAATCATGTAAATATTATACATATATATATTTTTTCTCCTTCAAACGAATAACAATCTTATATGAAATTTTCTAGAATGTTACTTTTATTAATTGTGAATATATTTTTATGTATGAAATTAAATCAAATTGATCAAATAACCGATCGCCTTGTGCAAAGTTATCCAGCATGGTTAAATAAATACTCGTAAGATAATATTTATTCCATTTCATTCAAAATAAATATTTTTTTTTCTAAATTTAGATATCAACAAGAAGACAATGTATGGTCATTATTATTAAAAAAGCAAGAAGAATATTATCAAATTCAATTACAAAGTTTGCAATCCATCTTAACAACAACGCATAATGCTTTAAGAAATGTTCGTATTTTGTTTTACTTGAAGTTTTGAATTGATTTCTAATTTTATTTATTTTTGATAGGTTACTGACACATTAAGTCAATTAGCTAAATTAAACAGTGGATCAAGTTGAAATGCACCTATTGTTTATAAAAATTCGAATTTGGTGCTTTATACCGGTGTATCTCTTTATTTTTTATTTGTATATTTATTTATTCGTTCACTAGAACAATTGTGATTTTGTTTTTTTCTATTTAACTTAATATTGATCAAATAAAAAGAAGTCGTTTTTTGTTTTTATTAATAATATTACCAATATTTTTTAATACATATCATATGACTTGTCTTCAAAAGAAAACTAAATTGCGTTGTTTTTTTTGTTTTGTTTTGAGATGGGTCGAAGATATTATTGTGATTATTGTGATAAAAGATTACCACCTGGTTTAACTCATCGAAAAACTCATAATAAAAGTATTCAGCATATAAATAATAAACGAGTCTATTATCTTCAATTCAAAGGTTTGAATAATTAATTTTGATTACAATTGAAAAGTATATTTTCTATAGATCCTATTGAGATGTTGATAGATGAACGATCAAAAAGAATTTGTAATAAATGGACTCAAACTGGTTCATGTCCTTTTGGTAATAATTGTAAATATTCACATCGATCAAATTATGATCTTATTCAATTAATTGAACAAACAAAACAAAGTAGTTTCTTTTTTATTCAACAATTTTGTTTTTCAAATATTTTTACTTAAAACTAGATTTTAATAGCCAATCAAATTTTGATGTGCAACTATGGATACAAAAAAAACTATCAAATGAAATTATTTTGCCTCAATCTCTTGCTTTATAAATAAAATCTATTGATTGTTAAAATCCTTCAGGATCAACTCTTTACTCTTTGTTGTTATTTCCGTTGAAAAAATATAAAGCATTAACATCGAGACAGAATCAAACGACGAGAAACTATTATTCCCATAGAGTTCTATTTATAATAATACATGTCCGATTGATGTTCTAGAAGATGCGAACAAATTTTTAATGTCAGCTTCTTTTTTTCTTCTTCTTCTTCTTCCACAGTATTATTATCGATCTACGAGCGGTTCCCAATAGCGTGTCTGAACATTTTTTGAGAGTTTTATGTCTGTTACTAAACGTACTTAAGCATAAAAAACCTATTAATGCATTTCTTTAAGATGATTATTTTGCTTTTAGAATATTATAAGAATAAAAAGAAGTTTTAATGTCGTAGATTTATAACATCTGCTGCAGTGATGATGATAATATACGACTCAGATGTGGATCATTGATAGGTTTAATGTATATTGAAACTGATACAAAAGAATATCGATTGGAAATATATAAAAAAAACAAATCATTAATAAATAGTCCCTTTCGCAGCATGAAAAATAATGATAATGATGAGAAAACAAAAATCAGATTTATACAACTAGAAAAGTTCTTTTTATTGCTTTTCCAAAAGACAAAAAAATATGAATGATGATCATTTCATGATGAAAACAGTTGTTTGGTTATTAAATACATTGCGAATGATAGATGATAACATGAACTCATTTATTATTATATACATGATGATTGTTTCAGAATTCTACACAAGAGAAAATCAGTTGATTTCCTCGAAACATATTATCTTTTGTCAATAAATTTATTGACTATTTAATACTTGATATAACTGCTAATTAGTTTTAACAATATTATCTATCACCAATATTAAAGAAGTAGATTATATATTTCACATAGTTCGAGTTTATTTCAATAAAATAAAGCATTATTAAAAAACAAATACAAAATTTACAAAATGATTATTTGTATTATTATGTTATGAAAAGAATATCATCAGTTTTTCGTCTGTATATTCACTATACTTTCAACAAAAAACATCATTTAGCTACTTTTACATAACACAACAATACTTCATACTAGAGACCCCTGTGAAGAGTCAAGATTTCATATTATAGGGAAAACTGGCTCAATAAAAAGTGAGTGGTGTCAAAGTTGAAAGTTGAATTCAGTTGTTCGCTTCGAGTATTAAACTATTCTCTTTTTGTATCTCTCTTTCCTTCATCATCACTAATGTTCTGCTTGCCCAGTTACTCCTATTCCCCTTAATCATATTCTCCCTGTGCTCTACGCTCACCTATGCTCTCGGTTCACTCTCACACCTCCCCTCCACTGTTACCTTCTTGCAGATGGATAATTGAACACTTAAGTTCACGTGTGAGGTGTGGCATACATATAAAAAGTTCGGATAAGAAATAAAGTCTCAGAAGAAAACTTGTAAATTTTTATATAGATTTTTTTATTTTATTATGTCTTATTTTTTCCTTTTGTTTTGTTTTATTTTTTATTTTGTCTTATTCTTTTATTTTAATGAATGGGCAGATAATAATAATAATATAGAATGATAGGACAATGTACTCAGATGGTCATCGTCGGCTAGTCATATATGTATGTGCATCTGTTTTTCTTTCCGTTCTTTGTTACGGAACTGAATCTTGTGCATCATAATATAGATCATTATTTTCATCATCATCACTATTATCTTCATTGTCATTGGGTAATTGCAGGATAATGTTCTTCAAATCTGGAATATTATTTGTGGTAGGAATATGTTTAATTTCACGATATAAAATCGACAGAACAGTTTTTGCTTGTAAAATAGAATTTTGTAGTTCAAATAGTGATAACTGTTGAGTATCATTCATATCTTTGAACTTAAATGTTAGAACTTTTCGAATAGTATTGACATTTTCACGCGGTACTTTGTGAAAATCTTGTCGACCACTTGTAAAATGATACATTCCACCTCGTAATGTTAACACAGAATGAATTGTACCTTTATCTGATATACCATAATCTGAAAGAATTTCTTCATCTTCTGGTTGCATTCCACCACATATAAAACGTTGATAGTCACAAGAAACACCTGTAACATTTTGGATTAATTTTTTCACCTCGAATACATTCATTTCAGAATTCACAGTGAGAGTGATAATTCTTCCAGTAATATTTGTCACAAATATCTGAAAATCACGGCTGCTACCATTGTCAATCTTTAATAAAGACATAAAACAATACAATGATAGAGAAATAAAGAGAATCATAATTTACTTTCTTGCGAATGATTTTGGCCAAAACGACACAATTATTTTGATATAATTGACTTGACATTATAGTTTCTTCTGATTTTAAAATAGTACCTTGTTTCCAATTGCTTATGTTTGGTTTTTTATTTGGATCTATAATACATGATTTCAATTCAAAATCAGCAGGTGGTCGTAGTCGTCGTTGTTTTATTTTCAATTTAATTTTCTCAATATTATCCGTTAATAACATATTAATAACTATTCTTTGAGGCTGAAAATCTTCATATTTTCCAATAAATACAGGTATCTCACCATATGAAACAAATTCTTGACCATTTTCATATTCAGATACAGTAGATTTCAATTCAGATTCATCCAGTGGTGAAATAATATCATCATTTTTAGTCCCAATTCTTATCCATTGATGAAGATATTTAGGTACATAAGTTTCCTTAAAATCACGAATTATTTTACTAATTGATTCATGATCCATATAGTTGTTTGTTGTTCGATTTCCAAATGGATCTATAAATGTTAATGAACGAGATTTTAATTCATTTCGTACTTTCTTGTCTATTTGCAATTGATTATTAATACTATTCTCCATTTCGATTATTTGATATTGAATGGCTTGGACTTGAGAAACTAAATCTTCATAGATAAATGAAGATGGTATGTTTGATATGACATCTGCAGCAGCCATAATATATATATGTTATCAATTATATATCTAAAAAAGAAAAAGAGAACATTGATTGTTGATATTTAATTTGATAATTATTATTAATGAATAGGATTCAAGCTTCACACGAACTAATACAGTATATTTTTGTGAGTCGAAAGGAAAGATTCCTCGATTTATATTACATCATGAATCGAGATTTCGCCATCGTGATAGTATGAGAATAAACCAGCATTTGAAAATCGAGAAAATATGTAACTGTCGAGTGTTTTACTTATTGGATTCTTTTATATGAGTCAAAAAAACCCACTACATACATGTTGTGTAATAAGATCGTGATGCACAGGAAAAAACAGGAAAAAAACACAGATATCTACGCAAAGGCGATAACCATATCTACATATGAATCATATTTGAGATAAAAATTCGCCATTTTTACCAACGAGTTACGAAACATTTCATGGAATTCATTTTTAGTCTTTTTTGGCAGTTAGTCATATAAAGAATTCTTTTTCTATCGAATTTCGAAAATCTCCAAAGACATATAGATCACAATAATCATAAATTATTGTTTTAAAGACAACAGATCAAATATTATGTAATGTAAAAGCATTGCACATGCCAAGAATATACAGGGGGATCCACAAGTAACGGGTGGCTCATTATAAATGGCCCACCTTTGTATCTCATGTTTTCACTAATTAATATGTTGTATGAAAAAACTAAAATATATCATAAGACCCACCGTCAAAAGCTCTACAATCTATAAAGCAGCATTTATTATAATCGTATAACTTTTGCTTTCTTTAAAACAAAGAGTATACAATTAAAATAAGCTTTACTGTACATTGTGGAGTTTTTCACACTATACTGTATGGTATATTTTTTTCGTTAGAATGTACGAATTGGTGGAAAAATGAGATGCAAGAGTGGAACATTTATTACCAGTCACCCACAATATATGCATATCTATATATATATGTTTATAAAGTGTCGCGTTGTAGGCGAAAATATTGGTTTGCAAAATTCTTTTTATGTCTGAATTATTGTTACTTTATCGACCTCACTTACAAGTTAGAGAAAACGATAACCATTTTGAGATTACTTTCCATATAATCTTTCATCTTGAAAGAATGAAACCTTTTTGTTATTTCTTACGAGAATGGAGAGAGTACGTGTTTTTATGACATCCATGCTGATTCATCTGAATATGATTTTTCTGTTTTACATATGTACTTCCACATTTTATCATTCTATATAAAAGCACTCAATAAGATTTACAGCAAAGATTATTTTTTTACAATACTTTTACAAATAAAATGTCTGGCATAAGAAAAATGTCTCGAATCATAATACATCATCTCATCATATAACTCAATAAAATCTTGTTTTAATCATAATATTTTTTTAGTATCAATAAAAACTAATGTTACTACTAAATGCAATTTTGAAAGACAGTTTTTTTCGATAGTCAAATATATAACGACTAGCACATGACAAATGTTCCACTTTTGCATCTTCTTTTTCAATCAATTGTTGCGTTATATGAAAAAAACAAAATATACCATAAAATACAGTGTAAAAAGCTCTATGACCTACAACCTAAAACTTATATTAATTCTATCCTCTTTGTTTTGGAAAAAAAGTAAAATTTATACAATTAAAATAAATTTTACTGTATAAATTGTAGAGCTTTTCACGTTACCTCTTATGATGTATTCTGTTTGTGTCATAGAACGTATTGCTAACCAGTGAAAAAATGAACTGCAAAAGCGGGGCTTTTTTTATGAGCCACCCATCAACTTTAACGACATTATCTCTCATCAATAATGAAATGAAAATTATATGCTTTACAAAGTTCGAGTTTATTGTAATAAAATAAAACATTATTAGAAAACAAATACAAAATTTACAAAATGATTATTTGTATTATTATGTTATCAAAAGTATATCATCAGTTTTTCATCTGTATATTTACTATACTTTCGACAAAAAACATCATTTAGCTACTTTTACATAACATAACAACACTTTTCATCATTATTCATCATGTTGTTATTGAATAACTTCATCCAATGCATTCCTAATTAATTCTAATGAATATGATCCTTTAATTGGTTCAGCTATATAACGAAATCTTTTCATTTTATCAACCACATAAAATCGAATTGGCCATGGATTATACATTTTACTAAATGGATTATCTCGTGATACTGGATCGATTAATAATGGTATTCGATATTTTGTTGTTTCAATAAAATCTTTAGCTATTCGAATTCGATCAACATCACATTTTGGTTGAACATAACTTATTCGACTACCAATTGGCCTATTACAATAATAATTTTAGTTTACATTCTAATTCAAATCAACTACTTACCATTCATCAGATGCATGAGCTTCTTCAATATACACAGTTATTAGATCAATATGATCTTTATAAATATCCATTAACTCATGAAGTTGTGGAACAATACCACGAAATGGTGGTCATGTATATGATCCACCAATAATTAATAATGGTTTATTAGAATGACAAGGAGAACGAGAATAAGAGAATAATGATACAAATTCATTATTAAGATTTAATAATTCAATATCAATAGCTTCATCACCAACTCGAAAATGACCTTGTCTTGCACGATTATGTCGAACATAAAGAGATAAATTATGAAATTCTGCATCATTTGAATATAACTCATGGGCACTTCTCAATATACTAAAACAAAACAAAATAATAATAAAGATCTTCATTTATTTATTAAGAAAATAAAATCAAATATTTTACTTTAAACCATGTTGAATTTCACTTTCTGTTGCATCTTGACCAATTGTTTCTTTGATTAATTGTGTTTGTAATTGATCAATAATATCCATCCAATCAATATCTGTTCGATCTTGAATAGATGATAATAATTGTTGAGTTTGTGAACTAAGTCGAAGTTGTTCTTCTTTAATAAGTAGATGTTTGAGAGTGTTATGTTCTAATAATCGAAAGACTCGTAATTCATTTCTTGTCTTGGATTGTCATTGATCATGTTCATTACCATCATCACCATTATCTTCATTGTCATTGGGTATTGGTAGAATAATGTTCTTCAACTGTGTAATATTATCTATGGTATAAATCCCTCTAGTCTTACTATATAAAGTCGACATAATAGTTTTTGCTTGTAGAATAGAATTCTGCAAGTCAGATGGTGATAATTCTTGAATATTATGCATATCTTGAAACTTGAATGTTAGAACATTTTGAATAGCATTCATACTCTCATAAGGCAAACAGCGAAAATCTTGTCGACCACTTGTAAAATGATACATTCCACCTCGCAATTCTAATATTAAATGAAGTGTACTTTTTTCTGATATATTATAATCTGAAAGAGTTTTGTGATCTTCTAATTTTTTTCCATAAAACTTCAGACGTTGCTGATCAGGAGGAATACCTTCAACATTTTGAATCAATTCCTTGATAGTTAACATATTCATTTGAGAATTCACATTGAGAATCATAGTTTTTCCAGTGAGAGTTTTTACAAATAAACCAAAATCATAGCTGCTATCACTATCAAACTTTAATAAAGAAATATAACTATACAATGATAGATAGAAAAAGACAATGGTAATTTACTTTATTGTCAATGACTTTTGCCAAAATGATACAATTATTTTGATATAATTGACTTGACATAACAGTTTCTTCTGGTTTTAAAATCGCACCTTCTTTCCAATTTGTTTTATTTGGTCTTTTATTTGGATCTATAATACATGATTCTAATTCAAAATCGGGAAATCGTCGTTGTTGTTTTATTTTCATTTTTATTTTATCAATATTATCCATTAATAACATATTTATAACAATACTTTGAGGCCAAAACTTTTCGTGTATTCCAATAAAGACAGATATTTCACCATATGAAACAAATTCATAACCATTCTCATATTGAGATACAGTAGATTTCAATCGAGATTCACTCAATGGCGAGATAATATCATCATTTTTAGTACCAATTTGTATCCATTGTTGAAGATATTTAGGAACATAATTTTTCTTATAATCTCGAAGTATTTTATTGATTGATTCATGATCCATATATATATTTGTTGTTCGGTTTCCATATGGATCTATGAATATGAATGAACGAGATTTTAATTCATTTTGTATTTTCTTTTCTTTTTCCAATTGACTACTAATGATGTTTTCCATTTCCATAATTTGATTTTGAATGCTTTGGACTTGAGACACTAAATTTTCATAGATAAACGAAGATGGCTTCTTTGAAATAACAGCTGCATTAGCCATAATATATAAAAAGTTATCAATTAGTTATCTAGAAAAGTAAAAGAAAACGTTGATTGTTGATATTTAATTTGATAATTATTATTAATAAATAGGATTCAAGTTTTATATGAATTAAATAGAGAATATTTTTTCAATCGAAAGAAAACATTGCTGAATTTATATTACATCGTCGATCGAGAATTGTCCGTTGTAATATTATGAGAAAAAATCGACAATATACGTTATTACCAAGTGTTGTACTTTCTCGGTCTTTTTTTTAAAATTGAACGCAGGCTATTGTATACATCTAGTGTAATAAAATCGTTAAGCCATAAATAAGAAGGAGGAAAGAATATACAAACATGAACGCATGGACGATAGTCATAGTGGCAATGACTCATCTTCGAGACAAATATTTGCTCGTTTTGATAAAAAATACGAAAGACTTCATCGACTTCATTTTTAATCTTTTCGAAATCATGAGACATGACGATTTTTTTCCATTGGATTTCCAAAATTTTTAAACATCTATAGATTTTAATAATCAGAAATGATAATTTTATAAAAGAAATATCGAATAACATGGTTCATAAGTAATTATGCGACAAGAAATCTAAATATTTCCATACTGGTTCCATAAAATGAACTGTTTTTTTGTGAATCTTATACCTTAACTCATAGTTTTATTTCATACGAATTATATAAATTCTGACTATTCTTAAATTATTGTGGAAATTCTAAAAGATAGAAAGCTCGGTCATTCGACACAGCTTATCGAACTCTATTTATTCGATAAAAAAAGATATTTTTTGGCTTAAGTCTTGGGCATCTAGAACAGTTTTATCATCGCGTAGCGATGTCACATAAAAAGGTCCTTTCTGTCCGGTACCAACGAGAAAACTGTAACTTTTTGCGGCCCATTGTTTCTACATGAGATCCACATTGATCCACTTTCATAGCGCTTTGAACGAACTTTACAAAGACAGAAGATTTTGTTTGTACCTATTTTATCTGTGTGTAAAATGCAAAAAACAAACGAAACGCTGTGACACAGTTTTTGTCACCCATTTCTGAAGTATTTAACATGTTCAGAATGATTTGATGTAACTCATTCAAATTTGTTTAACTCGAGAATCATTTTTTTGATAACTTGATCATTGAAGTGTCGGGCTATGTGGACAGACTGTTATACAAGATGTCTCAAAACTTACTTTATCGAAAAATAATTGAGCATGTTTCTTGCAGATCAAAGAAATCAACTGAGTTCTTTTAATCAATGATGCAGATATGTTTACAGTTTACATTTGTAAGAGACTCATGGGTAAATATCATTGTTGATCATGACAAAAAAATGCTACTCTTTCATACATAAAAAAAAGAACAGTATACTTAACAAAAGATTTCTAAGTATGTGCTTATCGAAATAAAGCTTCAATATACCTCTATCATCGATGGGAAAATCAGTAGATTTGTTCAAATTCTATTGTCTTATATCAACATATGTATAGTCTATTCAATATTTGATATAATTGCTGATTAATTTTCACAATACTATCTATTAGCAATAGTGAAAAAGTAAATTATATGTTTTGCATAGTTCCAGTTTATTTCGAGAGAAAAGAAAATCATTAGAAAACAAATAAAAAATTTACAAAATGATTATTTGTATTATTATGTTATCAAAAGTATATCATCAGTTTCTTGTCTGTATATTCACTATACTTTCAACAAAAAACATCATTTAGCTAATTTTGCATAACATAACAACATTTTATATCATTATTTTCCATCATCATCATTACTATTATCGTCTTTATTATTGGATATTGGTAAAATAATATTCTTCAAATCTGGAATATCATTAGAGATAGAGACTCCTTTAATATGACTATATAAAGTAGACAGAATCGTTTGTGCTTGTAAAATAGAATTTTGTAATTCAGATGGTGATAATTGTTGAGTATCAGTCATATCTTCAAGCCTGAATGTTAGAACATTTTGAATAGCATTCATACTATCGTAAGGTAAATTGCTAAAATCTTGTCGACGACTTGTAAAATGATACATTCCACCTCGTAATTTTATCACTAAATGAATTGTACCTTCATCTGGTGTATCATAATCTGAAAGGCTTTCTTCATCTTCTAATTGCATTCCACCAAATATAAGACGTTGTTGATCATAAGGAATACCTTAAACATCTTGAATCCATTCTTTCATAATTGATACATTTGTTTCGGAATTTACATACAGAGTGACAGTTTGTCCCCTAAGAGTTTTCACATATATCTCAAAACTACGGTTGCTGCCACTAATAAACTTTAATAAAGAAATCAAACTATACGATGATAGATAGAAAAAGAGAATCATAATTTACTTTCTTGCGAATGATTTTGGCTAAAATGACACAATTATTTTCATATAGCTGGTTGGACATTATAGTTTCTTCTAACTTTAAAAGAGTACCTTCGCTCCAGTTTGTTATGTTTGGTTCTATATTTGGATCTATAATACATGATCTTAATTCAAAATCATGAAACGGTCGTTGTTGTTTTATTCTCGTTTTCATTTTATCAATATTATCCATTAACAGCATATTTACAACTATTCTTTGAGGCTGAAAATCTTCATATTTTCCAACGAATACAGATATTTGACCATATGAAATAAATTCTTGACCATTTTCATATTCAGATACAGTAAAATTCAATTCATATTCGTTCAGTGGTGAAATAATGTCATCATTTTGAGTACCAATTCGTATCCATTGTTGAAGATATTTAGGAACATACTTTTTCTTATAATCTCGAATTATTTTACTAATTGATTGATGATCCATATATTTCTTTGTTGTTCGGTTTCCATATGGATCTATGAAGGTTAACGAACGAGATTTCAATTCATTTTGTACTTTCATTTGTGTCTGACATTGATTATTAACAATAGTTCCCATTTCGATTATTTGATATTTTTAATGTATAAAATGTTATCAATTAATTATCCGATAAACAAAAATAAAACGTTGATTGTTGATATATAATTTGAATAATTATTATTAATGAATAAGATTCAAGTTTCACATGAATTAAATAGAGAATATTTTTTCAATCGAAAGAAAACATTGCTGTATTTATATTACATCGTGAAACGAGATTTCCCATCGTAATATTATGAGAAAAAACCAACTTACGAAAATAAACAAAATTAGTAATTTCCAAGTGTTGTGCTTCATCTGTATTTTTTTTAAGACTCAAAGAAGCCTATTATATGCATCTTGTGTAATAAAACCGTTAATACATATATAAGAAGGCAGAAAGAAAATGTAAATATGAACGCATGGACTATAGTTATATTGACAATGACTCATATTGCAAACAAATATTCACCAATTTTGCAAAAAATTACGAAGGACTTCATCGAGCTCGTTTTTAATTTTTTTCTAAATTATGACACATGATGATTTTTTTTCCATTGGATTTCCAAAATTTTTAAACATTTATAGATTTTAATAATCAGTAATGATAATTTTATAGAAGAAATATCGAATAACATCTTGAAAGCATTGCACATGTTAAAACTATATAGGTTGGTTCATAGGTAACTATGCGATAAGAAATCTAAATATTTCCAAATTAGTCCAATAAAATGGACTGATTTTTTGGTGTATCTTAGAACTTAACTTAAAGTTTTATTTCATACGAATCATATAGATTCTGACTGTTCAATAGCTAGAAAGCTTGGTCATTCGATACAGCTTATCGAACTCTATGTATTCTATAAAAGAGATATTTTTTAGCTTAAGTCTTGGGCATCTAGAATAGTTTTATCACCGCGTAATGGTGTTACATAAAAAGGCCCTTTGTCTCCAGTACTAGCAAGAAAACTGTATTTTTTTTTCGGCCCATTGTTTCTAAATGAAATGCACATTGATCTTCTTTCATAGCGCTTTCAACGAACGTTACAAAGACAGAAGATTTTGCTTGTACTTATTTTATGTGTGTGAAATGCAAAAAACAAACGTAACGCCGTGACACAGTTCTTTGTCACCTGTCTTTGAGGTACTTACCGTGTTTAAAATGATTTCATTTTCGTAATAATAGATCTTTACTATGTAGATAAGAGTTCTACGAAAGAATCAGATTTATTCATCGAGATGGGAGCTTAGAAATTAAACAGTCAATTGGAAACTGTCTAAGAGGTTAAAAATAGTTTCTAGCTACCAGAAATCAAAACTAAATAGGCTATTTTGTAGGGAATGGTATATCTCTCAGCATTATTTAGAATAATTTCTTGGTTAGAAAACTCGCAATATGACTTCTGAAAAGTTTAAAATCCAGTTTTCGATAAGAAAATCTGATTTTCTTTTTACAAAATAAATCTCAAATTTGTAATCACCATTAAAAATTGTGTCTAGTAACTCGTTTAAATCTGTTTGACTCAGAGAAGTTTTTCTCAAACTTTGATAATTGAAGTGTCACGTTATGTAGCCAAACTGTTGTACAAGATGTCTCAAAACTTACTTTATCGAAAAACAATTAAACATGTCTCTTACAGATCAAAAAAATCGGCGAAGTACCTTGAATCAATGATGGAGGTATGTTCAGTTTACGTTAATAAAGAGACTCGACATTAAATATCACTGTTGATCTTGACACAAAAATGTTACTCTTTCATACATAAAAAAGAACAGTATACTTAACAAAAGATTTCTTTAAGTATGTCTTTATCGAAATAAAGCTTGAATATAACTCCATAATCGATGGGAAAATCAGTTGGTTTGGCCAAAATGTATTGTCTTTTGTCAACATATTTATAGTCTGTTCAATACTTCAAATAACTGCTAATTAATTGCAACAATATTATATATTGGCAATAGTGAAAAAATGAATTATATGCTTTACAAAATTCGATTTTATTGCAATAGAACAAATAAATTATAAAAGAACAAATATAGATTTTTGAAAATAATTATTTGTATTATTATGTTATGAAAAGAATATCGTCAGTTTTTCCTCTACATATTCACTATATTTTCAACAAAAAACATCATTTAGCTACTTTTACATAAAATAACAACATTTTATGTCACTATTTTCCATCATCATCATTACTATTATCGTCATTATTATTGGATATTGGTAAAATAATATTCTTCAAATCTGGAACATCAGAGGAGATAGAAAACTCTTTAATGTTACGATATAAAGTAGACAGAATCGTTTGTGCTTGTAAAATAGAATTTTGTAATTGAGATGGTGATAACTGTTGAGTATGATTCATATCTTTAAACTTGAATTTTAGAACTTTTTGAATAGTATTAGCACTATCATATGGTACTTTGTGAAAATCTTGTCGACCACTTGTAAAATGATACATTCCACCTCGTAGTTTTAACACTAAATGAATTGTACTTTCACGTTCTATATGATAATCTGAAAGAATTTTGCCTTTTTCTAATTGCGTTCCATGAAATATAAGACGTTGTAGATCACAAGGAATACCTTCAACATCTTGAATCAATTCTTGGAGAGATAATACATTCATTTCGGAATTCACGCTTAGAGTGATAGTTTTTGCAGTAAGAGTTTTCATAAATATTTGAAAATCACAGCTGCTATCACTATCAAACTTTAATAAAGAAATAAAACAATACAATGATAGAAAGAAAAAGACAATGGTAATTTACTTTATTATCAATGATTTTGGCCAAAATGACACAATTATTTTGATACAATTGATTTGACATAACAGTTTCTTCTAATTTTAAAACCGCACCTTCTTTCCAATTTGTTATATTTGGTCTTTTATTTGGATCTATAATACATGATCTTAACTCCAAATCGGGAAATCGTCGTTGTTGTTTTATTCTCATTTTCATTTTCTTAATATTATCCATTAATAAAATATTTACAACAATTCTTCGAGGGCAGCGATCTTCATCTTTTCCAATAAATACAGATATTTCACCATATGAAACAAATTCATAACCATTCTCATATTGAGATACAGTAGATTTCAATCGAGATTCACTCAATAGCGAGATAATATCATCATTTTTAGTCCCAATTTGTATCCATTGTTGAAGATATTTAGGTACATAAGTTGCCTTAAAATCTTGAATTATTTTACTAATTGATTCATGATCCATATAGTTGTTTGTTATTCGATTTCCATATGGGTCTATAAATGTGAATGAACGAGATTTCAATTCATTTTGTACTTTCTTGTCTATTTGCAATTGATTATTAATACTATTTTCCATTTCGATTATTTGATATTGAATGGCTTGGACTTGAGAAACTAAATCTTCATAGATAAACGAAGATGGTATATTTGAAAGAACATCTGCAGCAGCCATAATATATAAAAAGTTATCAATTAATTATCTAGAAAAGAAAAAGAAAACGTTGATTGTTGATATTTAATTTTAATAATTATTATTAAGAAATAAGATTCAAGTTTCATTTGAATTAAATAGAGAATATTTTTTTCAGTCGAAAGAAAGCATTGCTGAATTTATATTACATCGTGAAATGAGATTTCCCATCGTCATGTTGTGAGAAAAAACCAACTTACGAAAATAAACAAAATGAGTAATTGTCAAGCGTTTTACTTTTCCAGTCTTTTTTTATAAAATTCAAAAAAGCCTATTGAGTACATATTGTGCAATACACTCGTTAATGCATATGTAAAAATGAAGAAAGAAAACATAAACATCAGCGCATAGACGAAAGACATATTTACAAATAATTCATATTCGAGACAAATATTCACCAATTTTGCAAAGAATTACCAAAGACTTCATCGACTTCATTTTTAATTTTTTTCCAAATTATGACACATGATGGTTCTTTCCCTGTTGGATTTGGAAAATCTTTAAAGATCTATAGATTATAATAAACAGAAATTATAGTCACACAGAAGAAAGATTAAACAACATTGTAATGTAAGAACATTGCACATATCAGGGATGCTATATAAGTAACTGTGCGATAGGAAAACTAAATATCTGCATATTGGCTCAAGAAAATGGACTCATTCGTTAGCTGATAATAGAACATAATCCAAAGTTTTTTTTTCTCATTCCATTCTTAATTATTATAATCGTTCTCAGAAAAGATATATGAAATGTTTACTCGATAATCTTCGTTTATCATCAAAAAGCATGATAAGAAAAAATCCAGAGGAGCTTCATGAATAATACTAGATTCATATAAATATACAAATTTTCTTAGAGTAGTTAGTTTGGAACTGAACAATTTCAATATTCCAATTTTTTAGTTATGACGGAATGGTTTTCGACAGATATTTACTGATTTTGCACATGATGAATTACAATTATGTGTTATAATTGCTCAACACTAGTTTTATCTGTCTACATTAATGTACTATCTTTCGTAAAATTAGTTTCGATTTTTTTCCTATCATATTTTTTAACAATAACCGAAGTTTATCGATCGAACGTTTCGTATATCTTTTCTGAGATAGATTAGAGTGCTTAAGAATAGTACGAAATAAAACTTTGAGTAAAGTTCTATCATCAATCAAAAAATCATTCCATTTGATTGAACTAATATGAAATTATTTAGATTTCTTATTGCACAATAAATTATAAACCATCCCAGTATGTATTTTACATATAAAAAAATCATCTTCACTTTGCTCTGTCCAATATATTCTGATATTGTTTTCAAGAAAATCTCTTTGCCACAATCTCCCAACATTTAAATATGCTAATCATTAATATGAACATCTATTCGAGACTCATCGACATTGATATTATCAAACAATTTCTTTTTTATCTCAAATGTATAATTTTTAGAAATTCAACGTAATTATGATGAATTAATCGAAAGATTTTCGGTTTAGTAACAATTTGTTTTCATTTCTTCAAGGTAATCTTCCTTTTTCATATATCTTCTATGAACTGATATCTTAAAGAATCAACCTTGAATGATATAAATGAAGGTCAAAAAGGAACAAGGTGCAGTTATTTAATTAATTTTCTTTTATATATAAAACAAGAAAACAAAATAATAAAGAAAATTATTGTTTTTCTTTTTCTTTTTCTTTTTGAATTTTATCAAGTAACAAATCAATTTGTCCTTTCATAACAGGTTGACCACGGCGTGTTTTTTTAACTAATTTCTTCAAACGATTTTGTTTATTTGTTTTATATTGATCCATAGCACTTTTGACAGCTTGTCGATGTTCGTCTTGAGTCTTTAAAAAGAAAATCAAAACTTAAAACAAAAAAAAAGAAAAAGTAAATTCAATTACTTGTTTAGCTGATTCTTTTTCTTGTGTTCGTAAAACATGTGCATCATGAATTTTTTGATTATGTGATTTACGTTTTCGAATCTTTTCAACTGGTGGTTTGAAATTATTTGGTTTCATTTTCTACAAAAAAAATTAACCGAGATATGAGAAAAATAATTCTAATATTTATTTATTTATTTATCTCCGGCTGCAATTTTACTAAACAAAACGTTTTTTTTTTCATTTAATTAATCTAGAGGTACAAAAGGACAAAAAAAGAAATCAAATGTAAATTAGTTCATTTTGATTTCGACAATATTGATCGTGTTGATGAAGAAGCAAGTAATAATTGATTTGTACTAAATAGTGAGACACCGAGTCCAATAATTGACATAAATACAGCAGCACTAAATGAGAATCGTTCTTTTTTTAATGTGGAATTTGTTAAATCATATCTCTAGAAAACAAATTAATTGAATGTATTTTTAAAATTAAAATGAAAATAAACTTACAGCGAATAATCTAGAACCAGTCTTTGCAGCTGCACCTAATACCATTTTTACCTAAATGAATAGTCTAGAGTGCAAAAGTGCAAAACATAGAAACGCAATTCGATTGGCTTTTTTATTTAATCAACCATTCATATTATTTGATAGATGGCGTTCATGTAGATTTTATTTTTCTATTTATTTATCATAAGATCAATATCTATCTATTTATTAATATTATATTTTTTTATTTCAATAATAAATGAAACTTATTAGTCTAAATAGATAATCCATATTTTATCTCTTTGAATAGGAAATAATAGTCATATAGATACTCTTTTTTTTTCTTTACTAAATATGGGTGACATGTTTTCTTTTGATTATCCTAATGAAAAACGAACATTTATTTCAAAATTAAATCCTGATTCACCTGTATTTTATCCATCTTCTTTCTATCATCATATTCAAGAGGTAACACAACCAGAATTTTCTTTTAAAGATAATAATAATCATTCACATATTCAACCAATTACAAATGGTTATCATGAGCATGAAAATTATTATTCAACGACTATTCATTCTATAGAACCGTCCCAACATCATATATCACAAACATCTTACATTCAAGAAATGATACCCAATAATCGACAATCAACAACATTATCTCATATTGAACCAGTGAATATAACTCATGATGATCTATCTGAACAATCATTATCTCATATAAAAGAAGATAACGAAAAAGATGAAAAAACGTATCAATTATCGACACAATTAGCAGCTAATTTTAATGATGAAAATTTAGATAAAGTCACGTAAGTTATACTTATCCTAAAGAATTATATTCAGAACAGAATACAGAGTTTCATATTCTCTTGGATCTAATCGGCAAGTATAGTTCGAAATGAAGTCATAGTAGAAACTACGTTACTATTAATGTTTTCAAAGAAGTTCTTATGTTGTTGAATTTGAAATTAACGCATCGAAAGATGATTTTTTTTCAGTTATCTGTCTGAAAATGAATCGAATTATAATCTCCGCTTTGTTTATGAGTGAATATGATATGTAATAGTCAAGTAAATTATACTAAACACAAATTCTGTTGTCAAAAGACTATGAAGTACAAAATTGTATATACATTAATTCACTTATTACAGAAAATGTCCTATAATTTTGAATCTCATTTTTGTAATATCGTAAACGAATTTATTCAGTGATTACAATATATTTTTTAGAGTAAAAGATGATATCCCACCTACTGAAATATCTATTGATCGATCTTCCACACAACATGAAAGCCATGCTTCTTCCAATGAATCACAATTAAATAAAACCGATGCTCATCCCATAACAGAACTTCAATCTCTTGATGATTCCACAAATCAAGATGAACCTGATGATGTTCTTGGAAATAACTCATTACTTAAGCATGTAAAACACCAAAAAAATAACTTTAATAAATATGAAATAAATAAATCTTTCATTCTTTTAGACATTAATTCCAGGTATACCAGATACTCGTCCAAGTCGTGATACTCTTGCTACAGTTTCTTATAAATTATTCTTATTTGATAATTTAACGAAAGAGTCTCGTTTAATTGAATCAGTAACTAATGAAAATTGTTTTGTTGGTGAATATGATATTTTACCAGCAATCGATATTGTTATTCAATTAATGGATCGTGGTGAACGTGCAATGATTGATTCGGAAGCTCGACATTGTTATGGTGATATAGGTTGTGAAGAGAAACAAGTTCCACCAATAACATCAACAAGTTCATATTCAATGAAAATTGATTTAGAACTTCATGATTGGAAATATGCACCTGAAATTCAAGCATTATCTGTTAAAGAAAGACTTTATTGGAGGTTTGTTCTCTTCTTTTAATGAGATATGAAATATACCTATTCTATATTCATCTAAATACTTTACTGCCTTGAAAAAGTTTACAAAAATTTCTGTTCAGAATAGTTAAAGATGTTATCTATCACCTTTCTTTGAACAAAATTGATGAGAAATTACTACACGGTCGATTGACCTTGTCTTTTGAATCATTTCAATTATAACTTTAATAGGTCAAAACGTTTTTATAATCAAAGAAATAATAAGAAACCGTTGATAAAAAACATTCAGGAGGAAGAAAAGGGGATTTTTTATCGTCCGCCGTCAGGCTGAACTATTAATGAAAATTTAGCCTAAAATCCAATCTGTTTTTTTTAGTGATAAAAAACGACAACGAGGAAACTTTTCATATCGTCGAAAAGAATATTCTCCAGCTCTTACATGTTATCGTAATGCATTAAAATTTATAGATATAATTCAACATCCATTATTAGAAGATGAAGAAGAAAATACTCAATCATCGGTATTTATTGATCGATATATTCAAGTTCAAAATAATCTTGCACAAGTTCATTTATTAAATAATCAATATCAACAATGTTTAGAAGCTGTCAATGATGTCTTAAAACATGATCCAAACAATATTAAAGCATTATTTCGACAAGCAAAAGCTTTATTTGAATTAGGAAATTATGATGAAGTTATTCAAGCATTAAAATTACTATTACAAAATCCAAGTAAAGATGTTGAAAAAGATAAAGTTAATGAAATGTTAAATATTTGTGAAACAAAATTAGCTAAATATCAAAAAAATGAAAAAGAAATTTATAAAAGAATGTTTAAATCGGAAACAATTATTAACGACAAATCTCAAACAAAAAATAATAATGAAAAGGTTTGAATTGAATTTCACATAAACGAAAAAATTAGTGTTGTTTGTTTTTTTTTCTAGATCGAAATTAAAACTAATAATGCTTGGCATAAATATTTTGTAGTAGGTGGTGCTACTGTTTTAGCTGCAATTGGTCTTGCTGCATTATTGAAATATAAATAAAATATTTCTATACAATCCTCTTTTTTTTTTGTGTTTATCGATGTTATGTGTCTTTCATTGTTCTCTTCCAATTTTCATTTCATGAATAGGGGAACATTTATGAATAAACACATTCAACTATTAACAATAATCAATTATAGATTGATTTAGTTTAAATATAATTGGAATTAGAATAACAAATTAATTTTATTAGTATAGAAAATTACTCAAAATGAGTTTCATGATAGTTGGAATATATATATATATATATATACGATTTTGTACATCTTTAATGAAGTTGTATCTCGTTTATTATCGATAGTACAATATATCTAAATACTTCAGCAAAGATTAAACTTTCAATAAGATGCTCATATTTTCATAAACAAGTCCTCAGTAAATAAACTCTTTTGATGCATTATATGTTCAAACTGAATTTTATTTATAAATAAAGTATCAACTTGAACAGAGAGTAACAGGTAAAAACCTTTTGTATGCTCATGAATCAAAGACAATATTTAAAATTCATCAAACTTATTTTTGTGGAACTAGTACTGATTTATACACCGTAACGAGAAAAAAAACAATATATTATTATCATCACTTTTTCTTTTATTATTCTCATTTGTACATTCAATTATTTATATTAAAAAAGGAAAACGTGCACATAATTAAACTAATTGAACTGTTGATATTCTAATGATTGAAGAAACAACACTATCATTAATGAGTACTCATACAATGAAACAATCAGCTGTTTTGATCACTAGTTTTTTTTCTTATAATAAAACATTTTTTATTTAGTTTATCTTTGAGATATGCCAAAAGAAAAAATAGTATAAATATCATCTACAAAATTTGAGTTCAAAAGTACTTTTAATTAGCGTAAGTCTTTCATCAGGATATTGTATTTATTTATTTAATCTGACTTTTTTCAAAAAGTACTTTAATAATTAATCTGCATATGAAATGTATGCTCTAGGCAGATTTTAAATCTGCTTAGACAAAATTAAAATTTCATCAGAAATAAATTCATATAATCATGTATTTTATTAAAAGTAGAGTGGACTGAAAAAAAGGGTAGAAAACACGACTGTTCACATAAATAATGGCGAATTGTCCTATTATGAAGAATTAGAAAAATACATTAACTCTTCAAAAGAATTCGAAAGAAAACTGTTTGTAAGAACATTTTTAATTACTTCTTATTATCCAGGCGGAAATTATTAGACATGTTCTCGACACAATTTAATTATTGAATAAATGACACTTTATTTTGCTTAAAATAGAATGTTCTTGCAACAAAAATGGTACTTTTTGTTCGAAAAAATGTCATTCAACACGAGATTATTGTAAACATATGAACGAATAGATTAAAATATTTTGTTTTTTGTATAATTTAGTAAAATGGAAAGATATTGTTAAATACAAAAAAAAAGTTTATTATATTCATATTTTAATTTTATGTCGAATATATATATCTTTAGATGTTGATATTTGATATGAATATAGATGAAATCTGAATACGTTTTGTCAAAAACATGGTAAAAATAATAATAATCGTTTAAATCTTCTCTAGATATATGAAAAACGAGATCCTTATAGAATGCTCATTAATTCATCGAGGTTTATTATATTTGAGTAATTATTTAATCAAAAAATAATTTAATATTTTGAAAACATTTCTTCCCAAGTGCAAAAAATAACTTATTTTTAATCATAAAGAGAAATATCATATGTTTATTAATAAATATTTTATTTATAACATGTTATCTCAATTATGTTGATATGATACATTTCAACTTTATATAGATCTTATCATGTAACTGACTAAAAGCAAATTCTATTTATTCAAAAAATATCATATTTCATGATTATGGACTATTGTTGTTTTATAAAAAATATCATACTATCACTATATTTGAACAATACTGATTGTACTTCCACATATTTGTTCGAAAAATATTTTTTTCCGGAGTTATTTTAATAGAATTGTACTGTTCCATTTACTTAAAAGCATAAGCTTGTGACATAATAATTACTAGATAAATATAATTTGTAACTTTATAAACTAAATTTTCAAGTCTAATTTCGGATTTCACTCTTTAAAGGCGAACATCCACTCCAGTGGATATTGTGATAAGTTCAATAAGACACGTAATACAAACATATATACAAGATTCAGCGTTTTCCTGAATTGAGACAGCCTGACAGATCATAAAAAGAAACCAATTTTGGGTGACTGTCTGGCGGAACAATAAATTTTTTAAAATTATGAATTTTTTTAAAAGACATCGCTCAGTATATGGTCAATCTATCAGAAAAAGATGTTCCGCAATTTTTTTATTGATCATGCTGCTAAAACCAAATATACCTAAAAAGAAACATCCCAGCAAAAACTATTCTAGGATCATACTAAAGCGTCAGAGCCTCGTTTTTAGCAGTCAGCTTTTAAGGGATAACTAAAATAATTTTAGTCTTTTTATTTGAATTATTGTAATAATAATAACGTATAATCATAATATATTCTACTGTTATTTATGTTGCATTTAGAACAAATCTTTCCTAATTATTTGATAATTTCATAAATAATATGTTATTATATATTAATGCTATTCATTCATTCAAGGACTTTTTATCTTGTCATTAATAGCTAAAGATAGATGATTATAATTGATAAAGTAAAGATGAAATTTCATATTATTATAATTTTATCTTGTAAAAATCAAAAAAGCATACATGTTTACAACCAAATAAAAAAAACAAGTCTTTTTTTCGAAGAACAATACAAGATTAAATAAAAAATATATATATTTGTATTCATAATTAACAACAACAAAAAAAACACTAAAACATTATTTTATTTTTCAGCTGCAGCCTAAAAAATAAATAGATAAATAAATAATCAATTTTTTTTAAGAAAAAAAATCTTACGGGATAGACAAATGATGTTAATGTTCGACAACGCTCATGACAACAAATTTGACATTTAAATAATCCCATATGATCTTCAAAATTGGCATTTTTTAGTAATAAATCATTTTTTTCACCTAATGTATTCAATGGTTCATCTTCTGGATTAAACCATTGCACTACACATTCATCTTTTGGATTATTATTAAAACGACACATTAATGATGTTTCACTACGAGGTTCAAATAATGTTTGATATGTATGAACTAAATAAATAAATATATGAATAAATAAAATCAATGAAGAAAAATTCTTCTTACCAGTAATGAAAACATCTTCGGGAATTGTTTTTCGATTTGAATTGATTTTTGCATTAACATGAACGTTAAAACTATGTTGTGAAGTTACTTGATCATGTGTTGCTACACATTGATACAATCCATTCATATCAATATTAGTTTGATCTATTTCAATAGTTGATACAATTGTAGAAGCAAGATAAGAACTTTCAATATTATCATCTTCTTCTTCCAAAATTGACTAATTAGAAAAATTAATATTAAATATTAATTCGAACAGTTATTCAAATCTTACTTTCGAAATAAATGATTGAATTAATGTACCATTATGATACCAGAATACATTAAGTTTATCAAAATTAGATAAAAATGCACATGATAAACGAAATTGTGAATTTTGATGAATATTAATTTCATTTGCTGAACTTAATTCTGGTAAATATGTTATATCTTTATGTGTTCTTAATTTTTCCAATAACAATGATGATGAACAACTATTTACCATCATGAATAAGATATACTAATAAACGAAAATAAATTATTTAAAATTATTTAAAAAAAACTAAATGCGACTTACTACGATGAATTTAATAAGCATGTTTATTTTTGTTATACTATTTCGGGTAGAAAATAATAGATTATAATAATACTTGAAGTAAAATAAAAACACGACGCTTTTCTTTTTCTTTTATGAATGGAGAAAAGTATGTATCGACGCTAAACAAGGTGTCAGAATGATTTTGGTTGTTACACCCGATGAGTAGATATATATATACTTCTTCTTTTTTCTCTTCTTCTCTTATCCCTAAGCTCAACAACCAATTACATGCAAGGAGAACGGCAACATCCTTTAAAAACATCAAATATAAAAAAAAGTCACACAGGAAAATACATGTTTACTGGATAAAAGAATGATTTACTAGACAAAATACATACGTCATAAAGTAGTTCATGATAATTCTTTTCCTTTGCTAATTAATCATAAACCGAAACTACGTCAGAGAATAAAAAGAAGGTTCCAATGGCCTTTGAAATGAGATTTTTATTTGATGAATTAATACAGTTTTAAAATTATTTTCTAAAATAAAAAAAGCAGAGGCGTACAGAGGTGTCGAGGGCAGGGGGTGGGACAACCGAAATTTAACACAAAAAAAGTTTTTCCTGATTATTAAAATTTTTGCGAACAAAACATTTTTCCAAAGCAGGAAGGACATCACGCCCCACGCGTCCTCAGTCAGTACGACCTTGAAAAAAAGATTTTCATTCAGTTTTGAAAGAAAGTTTATTTTATGCAAGATGTAAATATCATCTTCAGGTTTCAAGATTTATGAAGTATACAGCTTTTATGATCATTCGAAAGAACGAAACGCTGTACAAACCGTTGAAAAGTTTCTCAAACTTTTTTCTAAGACTATTATATTCAGCTTGTAGAAAAACAGTGTGTCTCTCATTGGCAGCATATGAATTTATTTCTAACTACTAATAATAAGATAATTTAATAGAAAATCGAATTTTGTAATGTATACGGAAAAAACAATTTTTTGTAAATGTTTTCATACAAATTTCGTTGTGTCTTCATCGCCTGTTTTTGAATGGCGAAAACTGCAGCTTTCCATCTTGTTCCTATCGAAATTTATTCAAAAAATCTCCATGCGCCTTTTATTTTGAAATGAGTACACATACAATATCATATCTAAAACTAATTTTTTGTCCTGAAAAAGAGTTTTAACTGACAAAATGTTGTTTTCATTATTGTCTAGTAAGATTATATGTAGTTTAATATTAATATTTTTCCTTTTTTTAAATCATTTTCATTGTCTTCTATTGAAAGAAACTCATAAATTCATATGATAAATGTTATCGTTTCTGTTTCGTTCGTTATTCCCTTTCTTTCGTAAAAACAAGAATCATCCTTGTCTTCACAATATCCATTTGTTTAATACTCAACCATATCAGTAGAACGTGATAAAATGTAAGAGAATCAGTATTCTTTATGGCACGAGACAAATCTCGTGCGTTACTAGTTTGAATCGAAACACATAGATTAATCAAATAAAAATGAAATCATCTTGTCATAATGACTATATCTTCTTACAAAAGGTTCCGATAATATGATAATCAATATAAAAATATGTTAAAGGATATGTCATATCTTTTCATATTTCTTAATATACATTCAAAAACCGATTAAATAATTTTTATACAAGTGATCACTGAAGAGTGTTTTACTACTATAAAGAAATATTCTCTTATGAGTATATTAAGAAATTCAATGATATTCGAGGTTATAAACCATCATCTCTATTGATGACGATAGTTGAAATTTTTAAAACCTATTCATGGTAATAGCAACGGCGGATGGCTTTTGTTACTGCGAATAGACGGCCCTTGCGGATCAGCCATTTGGCTTACTTAATTTTCATTAGAATATCTGATCAAGATTTCATGGCCTACCGATGGCTAAAAACTTCTATTGAGACTCTAATGAAGATTATTTCATTTTATAAATGTCTAGAATTTTATATTTTCCATTAGTCGTATACTGTCTAAACTTAGAATAAGAAAAGATAATCTTTATGTCAAGATTAGTCTGAGCCTAAGTTTCGTATAGGTACAACAATAAAAATAAATTGAAATTATAAACAATTGAATGAAATCTTTAAAATTATTGTTTTGAACAAAAAGATATAGTAATCCATATGCAAAAACATTCTTAAATATAGAATTTTATTCATGAATAAAAAGCTAATTATGTTAAGTAATTGAAAAGAAATGCATTACTTAACGGATTATTTAGATAGAAAACATTTGAAGTTTATTTGTCAGTATTCTAATTAGTAAAAATATTTGTTTTTTTATCAAAATTCCTAAATTAGTTATGCTATTTTTAATAATTTTATTCCATTTCATATATTATTTAGGTCACATTGTGATTATATTCAATGATAATAATTAGTCATGCGAAAATTAAAAGTTTCTAATTTTAATATAAAGTATTTTACTTATTGATCTTGCATTTAGGAAAACCAGGTCATTATAATTTATTTATGATGAAAGAGTAATCTGTCTTTCTCGTCAAAACATATTTTCGGCTCGATGCATTTAAAGAAAAAGACTTATTTAAGAAAAGAAAAGAAAAACGATCAAAATCAACTACATTTAATAAATGTCGTTTTGTGACATGTTGTATTTTTGCAATTATGATTGCTTTTGTGTACCTCCGACATCATTCACATTGTATAACACAGAGTTTTAAATTATTTTCTACGGAAATTTTATAAGTAAAATCCCCTCTTTCCGACCATATGCAACACAACATAGATTCCTATAGTGTTTACTTTCCGATGAAAGAAAAAAACCATACTATTAATGCACTTTTTTTTAAAAAGACTATCAGTACAATATGACCTTCGTTGCATACCCTATTTTTAGTCAATTAATTGTCCTTAATACGTGATCAACAGATAGGAATGAATATTTTTTGATTCTATATAAGAAAATTTCCATCTTTTGTTATGTGTGAACTAAGTTTAAGACGATATTTTTCTTAAAATTATAGAAAATAAAATATACAATGATATTCAATTTTTACTTTTCTTCATAAATAAAGTTTTTGTTTACTATATTTTTCTTTCGGATAAATAAATATGTAAGAAAGAATATAATTTTCATACACCATATTTTAATTATTATGATTCAGGTATAGAAGGAAATTATTACATCATTAATAAGACATAAATAAAAATAATTATTATCATCACACGCAAACTTATCAACCATAAAAATGGTATACAAGGCATGTTTTATAGAGAAAATAAGTAGAAACATAATTATAGTTTAACATCATTTATACGATATTACGATTTCTTATCATACCTGAATGAATTACAACAAAGTAATAGTATAATCAATTTTAGAATAATTATTATAAATATTCTCATATTATTTTTTTTAACCTTTATATAAATAATTATGCAGTTTTTTGATATTTGTAGATAAATGTAATTCAATATTATTCTATTGAGTCTATTTATTAATTATTTATATAAGTCATTTGAGTTGCATAATTATTTTTAAAAATATAAACATTAGAAAATTTTACTTAAAAATATATTTGTTTTTATTATTTAGAATCTAAAGTAAAAAATATTATTACAATTTAAGATCATATTTTATTCGTTAAAATATTTAAAAAACTTCGTTTAATTATAATATTATTATTAATAAGATAAGGAAATCCTTCGTAATCCACTAATATCTTATTTCATTAAGTGTTCCTCTTGACGGAAGTAGAATCCATATATCGTATTAATGTAAATTAAATCTCTCTTCAATACTAATCTTTCATCTTTAGTTTTTGTTTAAGAAAAAAGAAATTTCTTCTATAAAATATTAACAAAACATTTTGATATGTTAATATTTACATAATAGAATCTACAAATTTATTTATTTAATCTAATAATTAGTTAAGGTATTCTTTTCAATGGATCAAATCTATAGTCAATATAACAGTAAATAATAATAATAATAGGATAAATCAATTTTTGCTTCTTCTTTTATTCACATGGTCGATTTTGAATAGGTATGTATACTCATAGCTTTTGGATTGAATAGAAAGAAACGTAAGAACACATACGAGAGAAAATAATTGTCAACATCCGTTTCTTGTCTATATAGAAATACTGTTCCAGCGGGTATGGTTTTTCATTATAAATGAAAAAAAAAGAAGAAGAAATGAACGTAGACCGGTGCGAAACGATAAAAGAAGAACGGAAAGAAAAAAGAAGAAAAAAAGAAAAGAAAATGTCAGTTCTCTCCTTTTCTTTTTCATTGATGTTATATTTCACAGTAATTCCATTACGACTAATTATATTTTTACATTCTTTATCGAAAACAGCAAATATCATCGATCTAGATGTAATTCATTTATATCGATGCAACAAACACAAGGACAAAATTTTCATAATCCTCGATTGAGTACGAGTTCATACTCATCATTATCAGCAGCAACAACGGCTCTGCTCAATGGACTCTTACCAGGTCATCGATTCTCTCAAACATCAGGGAATGCACCAACAATGGCTGCAAATCTTAGTACAAAACAATTACTAGCATTACAAAGAACGAATAATCGATTAAAACGATCACAAAATATTAAACGTACAGGAATTATTTTGATATTATCGATTATTCTTGCTTGTCTTCTTCTAATTACAATTCAATGTGCAACAAGAGTAGTTAAATTACAAGCAAAAGATCATCTATTTAATTATTGGGATCAATTATCTAATGATAGTATAATAAATAGAACAAATTCTACAGAAAATAAAGATTATTCAATTCGTGCATTTTTTACTTGTGTTTGGATTTTCAATGCATTATTACTTATTTGTTGTTTCTTAATACATTTAATATTAAGTCAACGTCGTTCCAGTCGTAATAAAGCAACAGCTGCATTTCTCAGGTAAATATATATTATTCAATTAAAAAACTCATAATTATCAAATATAGAAATGAATAGAACATCCGCTATCGTTAGAAAATAAGACATGAATAGAAATTTTTCTTTTTCTTTCTGTTGCTCACACACATTCTAAACAAAAAGAAAATGGTGTAGATTGCTTTGAGTATATTTTCATATATAAAGGTTGATGCGTGATGTCTTTTTCAAGGTTCTAAATAAATTATGAGAAAAAAAAAAAGAAAATATTAGTTGGAAAGTGAAACACATTGATTATTTCAATTTCCTACAATGACAAGAAGCATACGTGAATCTTTTTTATATCAATTCATATTAATATTTTGTCATAGTCAATTGTTTAAAAGTATCATTTAAAATAATTAAAATTTTTTATTTGTTTATTTAAATAGAGAATTTGGTCAAATATTTCATAATAGGAAATCATCATCAAATAATACATTAGCAGATTGTTTAATAAAAACATGTTTATTATGTTTTCTTTGGTATTCATCTTGTTATTTTATATTTCGTTCAATGACAATTCTTATTTCTATGAATATTATTATTATTTATTCCGTAACAGTAACAGCACGACAATTTCTTGGATGGATTTTTTTACATGAACAATTTATTGGTAATAAGGTTAGTTTAGTCTTTTTGTTATTTAATTTATTGAAATATTAAAACTTAATTCTCTTAGATAATTGCTATTATACTTGGATCATCAACTTTACTTTTTCTTGCTCATTCGAATGGCTTTCGTCTTAATGAATTTTTATTAGGTGTTGTAATGATGACATGTGCTGCAGCATTGAAAACAATTTTTGATGTAAATATTCTTGATTTAAAAAAAAAGAAGAAAAGTATTCATTGAAATTTGTCATTGTGTTTTTTTTTCTTCTGTATGTTGATCATAGATTCTTATTCATGGATTTATTAAAGATTTAACAGATACTAAATTGAGAATTGCAATGATTAATGTGTGTTTCTTGGGTACATTTGTTCTTTGGCCATTTGTTTTACTTATACATTTTACACAAATTGAACGATTAGAATATAAACATATTCCATGGTCATTAATCATGATAACATTGATTTGTTCTCTTAGTAAAATCAAACAATTCCTATAAAAAGAATATTAAATTTATTTTTTTTGTTTCTTTTAGCATTCAATATTCTAACAATTGTCATACCATTTAAATATAGTTCAGTATCTAATATAGCTTGTCTACTTTTTGTTATCCCATCAACTGCTGGTAAATATTCTTTTCTGTTCTAACAATTTAATCTATTCTATTTTAATTAATTTAGTAATCGATCGTTATTTATTAAATATTAATTATTCACCTCTAGTCATTTCAGCTATTTTATGTTCATTTGGTGGTACATTATTATCAATCGTACCAAAACAATGGTTTCATACTAATGAAAAAACCAAAATGAAACAAACTTTAGGATTACTTCATAAAGATTCAAATGTAAATACAAGTACAATAGCTGCAAGTGGTACAACATTAGGTGGAACATCTTCCGCATTAGATGAAATACGTGCTCAACGACGTATTCGTAATGCACTTTTATATAATGAGGTCAAAACATGATTTTAATTAATATAAAAAATCTATTTTTCTTTCTTTTATGTTTAATTGAGTGAGATGCAATGTGATATTTTAGACCAAATAAATCTATTTTTTAATCAATATTAAATTTATTTACAATAATATAGTACAAAAAAAAAGAATATCGTTAAAATTCACATGATAATATTTTTCTACTAAATTAAATAAAGATGAAAGAAAATATTTCGTTCGTGATATTTTCTTCTATTATAAAAAGTCCAAATGATAGATGATTTCTTGTCACATGTAGAAAAGAATTTTAAATCTATAGTTCATTTTCGAAGTATATATTATGTTGAATTTTCTTTCAATAGAAAATATAGGTGAATTAATATAATCATTAACTTTATCTTTTGTCCTTTTTTCTTTTTAATATATTATTTATTTTTAATAATAGATCTTCTCTAGATAATATATTGTTTCACGTGACAATATAATGAAAACACGTGACTAGATAATTTCCATATCCTTTTTGTTTATTAAAAACAAGAAAATCTCTCATACAATTAAAAAATTTTATGTACTTGATTTATCTTTGTTATCATTTTTCATAGCTGATGATGTTGCACTAGCATTACCGCCATCACTACCACCAGCGCCTACACCTGTTTCATATGTATTTGTTGTTGTCATTATTGGTTTATCAGTTTTTTCTGCAGTAGAATCATTTGTATTTATTGATCTATAATATAAAAATCGAAAAATCTATGTTAAATTTGTTTTTTTTTACCCTCCATTATTGCTTGTGTTAGAAGACATATTTTTATATTATTGGTATGCTTGTTTTACTATATGATAAATGTAAAGAAGTAAATACGCAAAATAAGGCTAGTAGATACAGTAGTTTTTTTTTTCTTTTCTTTCCTTCGAGAATGAATAAGCGCATGAAAAAATATCTACTATATATAAAGCATGCCTTGAGATAAATACTATTTTGAATAATGATTTATCAGGTCATACAATACTTAACAACTCCAATAATTTATCTTTTGCAATTGTGTATTTCTCTATAGTAATGATTGATCGAGCAAAATAAAAAATTTTTATCACACTTTTTTTGTTTCGCACGCATTGACATTTAGAAATATAATGAAAAGCAGATTGTCGTTGCAGGTAGTGCATTATCTAATTCTATATTCAAATTATAAGACTGAATCTTTATAGTTAATTTTGAAAATAAAAATGAATACATCTGTTGTTGCACTATGTTTTATTTAGAATAGTAGAAGAATTTTCAATAGTTTTAAATATAACGATGGAATTAATGAGGAGCTATATTTAGTTCTCTATAGAAGGAAGTGCTAGAGCATATATTATAAAATTAATGTAGAACGTTCTTTATTACTTCTCATGATATGACATCTTTAAAAAAAACTATTTTTTCTAGTAATATGATAGAAAAATATATATAATTATTGTTGTACACATAACTAGATTATACAATCTCAGTATGTACTTCTATAGTGATGCTAAAAAACAAAGATACGATCATTTTAATTACAAATTAAATATCAACACATTGATAAAATTCTTCTTATTATTATTCTTGCTTTGTTAATACTTCAGAAAACGTAGTACTTCAGATTAGAATATAATTTGTCTCTCATTTTCATAGTTCACAGCAATGAATGTATATAGAAAAGAAAAGAATAACATATTTATCATCCCATGATCGAATAAATACTGTTAAAAGGAATATTTAAAATTACACTCGCATATTGAACTAAATTGTACACATGAGAATGATTTAATTCAAAATTATGCGAGTTGCTGACATCTATATAAATTTATGTACATATATAATACATCAAACTATATAAAATTATAACTGAATCTACTTCATCCTTTGATATTTAAAACATACTGTATAATACATTATATATCCATTAAACTAATCGATGAAGTGTGTTTTGTGTCGATGATAGCTTTGATAGGACTATTCGAGAAAAGATGTACTTGATCTGTCAAATTAAAGCTAAAAATATATTTTCATTAATAATATAAAAATAGATTTTTCTTTTGAAAATTTTGATTTATTATACACAGTTCCCTTCTAATCGATTCAGTTAAAATGAAAATATAAATTTGTTCTCAATAACCCCAGTAGCCATCTCGATGAAGAATAATCGTAGATATTATTTAAAAAATTAATGATCCAGAAAGAAAAAAAATAAATCGAAAGATAATTTGCGTATATATAATTATTTAAAAGCTATGTATAAATAGATATGGATATTTATCTTATTATTAAATACATACTCACTCTTTTTCATATTTAGAAACAAAGTTTCAGTGTATTTTCTTCTCAACTGATTGAACTTATGCATACAACATGTTTCCATCAAAAGAACTACCAGGTATTGTCAATGATGGTCACTCTATTTCTGTTCAATCTGATAACGTGGAAAAAACTAATGAAAAACGTACGTTTTTAATAAATTTATACTATTTTTAATTATTGATTGACGATTTAATTTTTAGAATCATCTACAATAAACGACTCGAATGAACAATGTGGAACAAAGCTTTGCATTGCACTTATCTTACTTATTATCGCTATTGCGATATCAATCGGGTATGTTCTATATATTCATAAAGGATATATAATTCGAACTTAAAAAATTAACTTTTTGATTATAGTTTATTATCAATATTCATTCCAAAACCAAATAATAATAATAATAGTAATATTAATATTTCAACAACACAACTGGTAACAATGTTTCTTGTTCTTCCAATAACAAATAATACTATCTATGCACTATCTATGAATAATAATACTTTAACAGCTGGTAATTATTTAAATAATGCTCAACGAAATATTTTGAAAGCATGTGTAAGTAACTAGAAAATAACGTTGATATTATATTTATAATAGTATTCTTCAGTTACAAATACGATTGAACTCAAGAAATGAATCAAAACTCATAACAGATCTCTCAATTGATAGTGCACGTGCTCAATATTCAGGCATTAATTATAATAACCAAACGGTAAGTTATTCATATTTTTGAATTTGATATTAGAAGAAAAATTTGAATTACTTTTTGTTCTATAGAAATTGAGACAACGAAAGAAACGTACAAGACTGCAACGTCAAATATTATCGCAAGTCGATCAAATAGCAGTTACACTTTCAATACAATGTAACTATCTGATCTCTATAACAGTTTGTCAACAATTTGTTGAATCAGTTCTTGACAATGGGTAGGTTATACTTTCTTTCATAAATGAACTGTTGATTTTATCTAAACTTCGAAAAATATTATAGTATATTGTTTATGTATTTGTAGAGAATCTCTTTCATGCAATTTAGTTGATGAACTTACGATAATACTGAACCTGTTATCATCATCAACAGCAGTCGCAATGAAAGCAGTTGATATTGGAAAGACTCATGATTGGCGTCAGATTGGCGAACTTTTTCTGGCATTTGGACTTACATCATTAGTTGGACTTGAAAGACAATTACGTGGTAAAAGTGCTGGTCTTCGAACACATTCAATTGTTGGAACGTCATCAGCTTTGATACTTCTAGTAAGCAAATATGGTTTTAGTGATGTTATCTATCCAGGTGTAATCGTACTTGATCCATCTCGTATTGCAGCTCAGATTATTTCGGGAATCAGTTTTCTTGGTGCTGGCTTAATAATTACTCGTCAAAAAGCTATTCGTGGTTTAACTACAGCTGCTTCTGTATGGTCCGCAGCTGCTATTGGTATGGCTGCTGGTTCAGGACTTTGGGTTTTATCACTTGCTGTAACTGGTCTTCATTTTGTTATATTACTTGGCTTTTTGCCACTTGAAAAACGACTTCCAGTTTTTGATAGAAATTCTCCATTTCATTTGAAGCCTGATGATGATGGTGATAATGCCAATGAAAATGACAATAATGATATTCACTCGGTTTGAGAAACTTCGACATAATCGAATATGTGCTACTAATTTCTGTTTTTTTGTCTCTAATTTACTTTAGTCATCTCATTGATCTCAAATTATGTAAATTATATCAATTGTATTCACGTTTAATGTAATCTTACTTAATAAAAACTAACAATTTCTTTTTGTTGTATTCTTATTTTTGTTTTTTACTTAAAAAAAGAGATTCAAAAAAGAAAAAGAATACGTATCTATGGACTATATATCATCGATCGTTATTGATGAAGATAAAAGTTCACAATATTAGATCATATACTTATTACAAATCAAATAGATATGTTAACAAAAATAGATTAAAATATACAAAAGCGAACATATGTAAATAATATGAAGAAATACTAAACAAGCTGCGTACCGTTTATCTATATTTTAATTATAAGAAAGATTACACGTGTTACACGAGAATCTATTTCAGTCAGTATGGCGGAAATAGTTCAACGTGTCTATTTATATGCAAAATAAATCATTGAAAAATATCTTGTAGGTTTTTGTTTTCAAAAAGTTCACTTTAATTTGATTCAAAATAATAATTAATAGTTTGTTTGTCTTGTAAAAATTTATTCAAATAATATATATATATTTATATGTCGTAGTGAATGTAATTTTTTGTCGAAGTTATAACTGCAACAGGAAAGATGAGGGTGTATCAGGCCGAGAAAGTACAATACTTGACAATAATGTATATTACCAATTTTCGTAAGTTATTTTTCTCTCATAATATTACGATGAAAAAATCTTGATTGACGATATAGTATAAATTCAGCAATGTTTCTTTTCGATTGAAAAAAATACCTTGTATTTAGTTCATACGACAATTGAATTCTATCTATTGCTAAAAATATATAAAATTAAATATTGTTAGAATTAAAGTTATTCTATTTTATTTGAAACTGACAAGAGAAAATAATAACCAATGAATAAACAACAGTCTGTCTGAACACTTAATTAACAGCAGCCGAATACATGTATATATATCTTTTGTTTTTTAATCACGCGCGCTTTCTAACAATATTAATAAGGAACGTTTTCGTTTTCTTTCAAATAATTAATTGATTAAGTATATACGTTATGGCTGCTGCAGATGTTATTTCAACGATGCCGTCTTCGTTTACCTATGAAGCTTTAGTTTCTCAGGTTCTAACCATTCAAAATCAAATCATCGAAATGGAAACTAATATTAATAATCAATTTCAGACACAAATGAAAGTACAAAATGAATTGAAATCTCGTTCATTAACATTCATAGATCCATATGGAAACCAAACAACAAATAACTATATGGATCATGAATCAATTAGTAAAATAATTCAAGATTATAAGAAAAAGTATGTTCCTAAATATCTTCAACAATGGATACAAATTGGGACTAAAAATAATGATATTATTTCACGATTGAACGAAGATGAATTGAAATCTACTGTGTCTCAATATGAAATTGGTCAAGAATTTGTTTCAAATGGTGAAATATCTGTATTCATTGGAAAACACGAACATTATTGGCCTCGAAGCATTGTTGTAAATATGCTGTTAATGGATAATATTGAAAAAATGAAAACGAGAATAAAACAACAACGACAATTTCACGATTTTGAATTAAGATCATGTTTTATACGTTCAAATATGAAACCAAGTATAACAAATTGGAAAGAAGGTGCGATTTTAAAATCAGAAGAAACGATTATGTCAAACCAATTATATGAAAATAATTGTGTCATTTTGGCCAAAATCATTGATAATAAAGTAAATTATAATTCTCTTTTACTTTCTTTCAATATATAATTTTATTTCTTTGTTAAAGATTGATATTGGTTCGGGACATCATTTTTGGATATATGTGAAAACTCTTACTGGAATGAAAATCACTCTCAATGTGAATTCCAAAATGAGTGTATTAACTATGAAAGAATTAATTGAAGATGCTGAAGGTATTCCTTGTGATCAGCAACGTCCTATATTTCGTGGGACACAATTAAAAGATGACAGATGTCTTTCAGACTATAATATATCGGATGAAAGTACACTTCATTTAGTGTTACGATTACACGGTGGAATGTATCATTTTACAAGTGGTCGACAAGATTTTGGCAATTTACCTTATGATAGTGTCAATGCTATTCAAAATGTTCTAACATTCAAGTTTCAAGATATGACTGATACTCAACAGTTATCACCATGTGAACTACAAAATTCTATTTTACAAGCACAAACGATTCTGTCGACTTTATATCGTAAAATTAGAGAAATTCGTACTGAACATAATATCCCAAATTTGAAGAACATTATTCTACCAATATCCAATGACAATGAAGATAATAGTGATGATGATAATGAAGATGATCAATGACTATCCAATACAAGA